GGAATTGGCAATGAGATTCCAGATCTTGAAGGGGAACTTTCAAAGTATGCTTGTGAATGTAAGTCTTAAATGTGATTTATTCCAAATTGATTTGCATTAATGAAGCTACTTTTTCTGCTTGCATTAATCACTCAACCTAGTAAATATAGAAAACTTTAATGAATATCCTGAAGGGAGAGAATACTTTGATCCAATATGAATGGCGTGGTGGTGAGAGCGCTCGCTTTCCACTTAAAGGGCCTGGGTTCGATTCTTCGACCTGGCGTCACATGTAGCTTGGGTTTGTAATTGGATTTCCTCCTCGCTCCGAGGGTTTTTTCTAGGTCCTCTGGTTTTCCTCCCTCGGCAAAAACCAACATTCTAAATTCCAATTCGACCGATTTGAAGACGAGCTAACTCGTGGATTTTCCACTGCTTAATCGTTTTTATCACGTGATTATTAATCGTTATCATTATTAATCGGGTATTCACGCGCACACATGGAGCACTCACCCCGTTTCTGACTTGATAGATGCGCCAATCCTTAAAATAAATAAATAGCCAGAAGTACGTAATCCACTGCAAGAAAATTTTGCTTGACGCCTTTCTTTGCGAGGTCACCTTTATGATCTCATCATCGTTTGTAACGCAAAACATTTATTTCGTTGTTACGTGAACGATTCCATTTTCAGCCATCTTAGCGTACTCGACGTGTGTGCGCTTGAGTGAACACATGTGTGTTCTTGTTTAAGCTATAGGAACGATGGCGTTTGACGTTAGAGTTGGACTCTTTGACGACCCACCAAGCAAAGAAACTAAAAAAATGCTGAAAATGATCAAAGCGGTCTCTGATGGATTTGCACTCTTGGCAAAACTGAACAGCGGATGGGAAGAACTTCTTCATAGATTTATGGAGCCACCATCCTACAGAAAATTCGTCGAAACTCAAGACATCACGTTCTCCGCCAGCCAAGAGATTATTGACAGAAAGGTTATGGAACTGACCAAAATGGCAGAAGAAGGCAAACAGTTTCCTGAAAATCAAGGTTACTTATACGAATATAAAAACGACACCTTTCAGTCATAAAGCTTCTTCAAGTACGGGCCTGTTAATTTGCCATTCTATTTTGAGCTTTTTTCAAAATGTTGTATGTTTCTTAAACACCGTAGTTCAGTGGCTTGTGCTGTTGTTTGTTACTCGTGTGAGACAAACAGGTTCTGACTGCCTAACAGCACATCACCCAGTCATTTCCACGCTTGACCGCTGTGTTGGCGGAGGCAAGGAAAACGACTCTACCGTGAGAACTGACACTAGTCAAGAGATTATAAGCAGTTTATGACCTCTTACAATAGTCATTAATGAAGAGATTTGATTCCCTTCTGAAGGGTAAAGTTATTAGTACTCTTTACTTTGTTATAGCTGTTTCTATGCTGGCGTATCTCATCGTGAAGGGTGACCTCACGCCCAAGGAGATCAGCGTCAATTCTATTTTCATGTTTAGGGCGGGCGTCGAATCGGTAAGTTATAAAGCAATTGCCTCTTTATAGAAAACAAGAACATCAATTCGACCGGTCAAATAAAGTAGGAAAATTATTTCCAAGTTAAAAGATCCGTCCTAATGACATATGTCCACTTTTTCTTCAAAGACCACAAATGGATTGCTGTGGCTCCTTTACGATCTGGCCCGAAATCCGAGGGTGCAGGAAATGGTGTTCGAAGAAGTGACCTCCCTGATTGGGCCCCATGGAGATTTTACTCCCGAAAGCTTTGCAAAGTTGGAGTACATTAAGGCTTGTGTCAAAGAGAGTATGAGGTAGAAGTAATGCTGTTGTTGTTGTTTTTTTATCTTAGAGGTACTTTTAATTTTAAAATAAGCGAACAGAAAGATAATGAATGGCTCCTCGTACAATTCCCAGTTCAAACTGAACCCCTACGATGCGAACTAAGTCTCTAAATTGTTCTCTCAGACTGCATCCAGTTACACCAGCCTGGACGCGTGTTCTGACACAGGATCTTGTTTTATCCAGTTACATGGTTCCATCAGGGGTAAGTGCTTAACGATAAGTTATGAGTGACGAGGACTATGGGAAGAGCTATAGGTCCTTCTTCCAATCGCCCACGGCATAGTTTCTTTTCCCCTTTGCCAAAACCCTGCATGTATATTAAAAGACTCCCAAGAGCCAGGATATTTAGGCTACTGGTTCAACTCTTGAGTCTTAGTAGCAGAGGGGGGCGGGGGCAATCGCAAAGAGGGGAGTATCCTCAGGACACCCCTTTCCGGCTCGGGTAAGCTCCTTAGTGAGTTATGTGTTCGAAAGTGATTCAACACTCCAATGGTGTTAAAAGATGTCTATCAAGTTGGTGACTCTTCAACTAATCGAGGAAAAAATGAAGCGTGTTACGTACTTATGGCTTACTTGATCATTTGTTCGCTTGCGTTCGTCCGACAATTGAAATCATAATGATGACTATACCGGAAGTAACTAAGCTTAATCGACTGATCGTGTTTGACGATGCATTCTATTCAGACCATCGTAAGCTATTCAAATTACCTTTCTGGGCGCTCTGAGGAATTGTTTAAGTTTCCTTTGGAGTTCAGGCCAGAACGTTGGTTAAACGAGGATCTGGGAAAGATTCACCCATTTGCCAGTCTGCCATTTGGAGTTGGGAGTCGTATGTGCATAGGTGAGGTTTTTTCTGTATACAAAAGGTCTACATGCAGAAGATTATTTCTTGAGCAACCCGTCACTTTGACCCCTCACTTATAGCTACACATAAAGCTTAGTTTGTAAAATTAACCTCAGCTTTGAGCAAACAATGGTGACATCCGTGTGAGCGCGACCTAACAGAAGACTTAACGAGTAGAACAATGATGGGTGTGCTCGTGTATTTTAAAACTTTAATTTGGTATTTTATAATATGTTCTCTAGCAAAAGAAAAACGTGAAAGCCTTGATTTTGGTTATGTATTTCCTTTGAGAGTTTAACCCTACTTTGACCTGTACCTCAGCGGTTGTTTATTTCCATACAATTACCTCTCTGTTTCTTTCCAGGGCGTCGTATTGCAGAAGCCGAAATATATCTTCTAACAGCAAAGGTAAGCGTGGGAAAGAAAAGTAGTTTGTAGGAGAAGAAAAAATAAAATAAATAATCGCATGTAAAAACACAATTGTATTACGGTGACCCCACTTTGGAAGGGCGAGCGCTTTGGGAACGAGGTCGAGTTATCGATATCTTGTCTTAATACACTAACTAAATACTTAAGTGAATTGTTATTAATTTAACGAATGTGCTTCTCAATGACTACTTTAGCTGGTCCAGCGATTCATTATGGAATACCACGATGAGCCAATGGGGACAAAGCTATCTTTTGTGGCTGTTCCCGACAGGCCTCTGAGGATAAAGTTTATCGATCGGGAATAGTTGTTATGGACGTGTAGTCATCAAGTGTGGCGGATGGTCACAGCACCAAACACTATGGCACATCATAGAATAGGATGATGTACCACGTGGTACAAATGAACTAATCAGATGGCTGGATTGCTTTACATCAAATCGCCATCTGGATGCAAATTCGGCCATATGATTGGTTCATTTGTACCCCATGGTACTTAATCCACCTCTCTGATTAATTAGTTGTACACCATAGTGCTTCCTTAAACTACTCAGATTGTATGGAAATCAATATCTAAATACCATATTGTATAAAAGGTGTTCTAGAATAGAAGCCGCCTTTTAATGAGGGCTGCCATAGAAATACTTTAAACATCATAAACGCCGTAGCGTAAAGGAAAAAAACACGGTACCGGTTGCCTTCATCAGAAATGATTTGATAATCTTATTATTTGAACTTTTTAAAACACTTTAATCTATTTTTAAAAACCTTTCCTTTTGGTGACAAGTCGAACTTTTGTTAAGTGGTCACCCACCACTGGAAATGTCGAGGTGACTGCTAAGAACAGATTAACCACTTAATACAAGTTCCACAGTAAAGGGGTTTTATAAAAGACAAGGAAAGCGCCATTTTATGCCATAATTTACCACTTAGTGTACAAAAACGCGCTTAAAAATGCTTCTAGCCTTTGATTTGGGAGATGAACGTGGATTTAATACTCTTGAAAGTTTCCTCTCGGTTTTATTGGAATGCCTCCGCTTTAAGTAACCGTTCATCACAGTTGGAAAACAATACAAACAGGGCGTTGGGACTCAGTACAGAGTGACCATAACCGCTTAATAAAGGTGAAAATTATATTGATTAAGTGGAAAGAATTTCGTGATTTTGACAACTGACCGCTTAGTACAGAGTGACCGCTAAAATATGGTGCCGCTTAAAAGAGGTTCCACTGTGGTTCTCTTACAAGTTTACTATAGTCATAGAACTCATAATTCGTGTATTTATGCCTCGTGGTAACGCGTTAGATAGCGTTGCCGTGATGAAAAATTTCTTCAGAAAAGTTGTGACACCTTGTTCACCGTAACCAGCTTGGGAAAATTCACTCCTTTACGACTGCTCGTGCGATGATACGATGTCAACCACGCGCCTTGCTCACGTGCCAGTCTAAAGTTCATTTCACTGTTATCACTCTTGTATGAACTAAGAGACATATCCTATGTCACTTTTGAGGTCAATAGTGACATAGGAGTCTAACAGAGTCAATATCGGCCTTAAAACACTTGGTGATAAATCCTTACACTTTCACTTCGTTTTAGGTCAGAAATTATGTTTTAATCGTGGTTGAACCGAGGTGAAAGGGATCTTGTGACTGTGCGGCATCGGTAAGACTCGGTGACTCGCAGCATGACAGATTGACTGACTCACGGACTCAGTGAGAAACTGACCCAGTTATGTGACTTGCGATGTAAATTCCCTCTGCATGTTTTGGTTGTTGACGTTCAGCAACTCGCCCCGTCACGCAATTTTTGAAAACACGACCTAAAATAAACCGATGTGCCCTTTCGTGTCACTTGCTTATCGGTACCTGGAGTCAGCATCTCAAGATCTGCAATTTCGCGATATTTTCATTACCATGGACGACACTCTTTACTTTATGACTACAGCCTTGCTGATTTCAGTCGTGATTTGGATCGTGAATCCCTTCGGCAAGCTCCACAACTTACTGAGGCAGCTATTGAAAGACCCAAAGGAAAATCTTCCCGACGGAGTCCGATCCTTTGAGGATCTCCCAGGTCCCAAAGGATTGCCTTATTTTGGTGATATTCTGAACTACATTAAAACGAGCTCCGACTTCAATCGTCTTTTGAAGAATCGCCAGGAAAACTTTGAGAAGTACGGCCCGATTTACAAGAGGACTGTCATGGGACGAACCGTGATCTTCATCAAAAACCCAACCGATGTCGAAGCTGTGTTCAGGGGGGATGGCATACATCCGATGCGACCTGAGATGATTTTCAGGGCTCAAAAGGAATACATGATCAGCAAGAACCTTCCAGAAGGTTTGACTACCCTGTAAGTGAATAGAATAGCCGCATAACTCTTAGTATAGAATTGATCAATTTTTGTTTATGAAGTGCAGTGATGCGGTAATTTCACGTTTGCACAATCGTGTAATCGTTTCATAACTAACTCGTGCACGAATTTACATATTTTGTGTTGAAACGTAAAGTCGTTGATTTGAAATTTTGCTCAGATTAGACCGAAAATACTTACATGTTCTCACTCAATGTAGACTGCCTAAGAATCTGCTCGAGTGATCATTTATGTGAACTGCGGCGGATAAAAACATACATACATACATACTTTATTAACGTGACTGACACTTAGCTATGTAAAGCTAGTTTAGAAGCTATATAAAAGTGTTTAAAATGATGTAGTATTATGGAACTGCATAAAATTATAGAACTATTAAACTTATAAAAACTAGGTTAAATTACGTATAAGTTCTAGAAACTCACTACTTTATAAAAGTGCTTAAAATGATATAGTATATGGAGCTACATAAAATTATAGAACTATAGTTATTACATACTAAAAACATAAGGGACTATAAACTTGCCAGGTCGAGTCCTTGAGTCTACGTTTAAAACTGCGATAGCCATCGATATTTCTTAAATTATTAGGAATAGTGTCCCATAGTCGGGCAGCCTGCTACCTCCATGACTTGATCTCGTACTTTATAGAATTTACTTTAGGTAATTTTAAAATAGCATCACCACGTAAATTATAGTTAGAATTACTTGCCGTCAATAACTCGGAAATACTTGTAGGTGCGTTTCCATTCCCAATTACTCCAAACACTGTATTCAACATTTTTGCAAGTCTTTGATTTGCTAATCTGCTATATCCATTTTTAACAACTAGTGTCTCGTATGTAGAGATTTTGTCCTGATAAACGAAGCGGAGTGCCCGCTCGTTCAGTTCTTCGAGTTTTTCTGTTGAGCGATTGCTCCAAAAATGCTTAGACTCGACACAGTAATTAAAATGTGGAGCAATAAATGCTCTGTAAAGCTTTTCTCGCAGCACTAACGGAAGCAACTTCTTCATCCTTTTAAAAACGGCGATTTGCTGGCTCACTTTCAAGATCGCTTCCATACTCACGCTCGAGTGATTTCCTACATACTCCGTCAGATCTTTATTTGCTCATGTAACATTTCTGTTCTACATTTTCTACATTTTCTTCGTCAACGTCGATTTTGAAAAGAGTATAATTTATGCGGAGTTCGGCGCAAGAATTTAACAGAACTTGCATGTCTTCAGAAATTTTTAAATAGGTTTGGAAACTCGCCTGAAGATCGGCAAACAATACAATCAAAATGTCCGTTTTCTTTGTCCTGATGATAATTTTCATAGCTACATGTTCCTTATTTTGCTTGTGAACCCTAATTTTCCTATGTCGATGAGGAACAATTCTTTAAATATTCTTGGCCATTATCCAAGATCGGTGTTTTTCAAGAGCATACTTCAAGTAAAAGTTGCGTTAATTTTCGAAAACAAGCATAATTTTGGGAAAATTTGGGGAAATAAATCCAAGGAGGGGGGAAGAGGTCCCAAGCTTTGACTTTTACTCTATGGCATGAATAAGGTTTACGCTTAAATAAGATATTGCTAGAGAAGTAAAGATTAAATATATCATGCGATCTTTTTTTTCCATAAATTTTGGTTTCAGACAAGCTAGAGCAGTGAAATAAACCCACAGGTACGATAGAAATGGGAGATCATTCCTTCCCCCCCTCCCCCCCATTCTTCTTCCTTGATTCATCATTGTATCTTGATTTTTATCACCTTCAACATCATCCTCACCTTTGTTATAATTACTGTCGTCACCATCACAGCCATAATTATCATTCACATTAGTAGGGCGTATCCTAAATGGCCCCAAAACATGCGAGCACCACACTCCATAGGGGAAATATCTAAACTCTTTCACAATGTTTGTATTTTGAAGAAGAAGGGGCCTGATGATTCACCTCCAGTTATCTTTTCTTATTCTCAGAGAAGGCGAGAAGTGGAGTCGACTGCGCAAAGCCTTAGCACCCAAGATGCTGCGTCCTAAAGGAATACGTGAAAATCTGGACAATTTCAATGGAGTCGCTAGGGATGCCATAACACACATGGCTGCACTGCGAGGAATTGGCGATGAGATTCCAGATCTTGAAGGGGAACTTTCAAAGTACGCTACTGAATGTAAGTCTTGAATTTGATTTGTCCAAATTGATTTGCATTAGCACAGCTATGTTTTCTGCTTACATTGATCACTCAACCTAGTAAATGTAGAAAACTTTAAAGAGTACCCTGGAGGGAGAGAATACTTTAATCCAATATGACTGGCGTAGTGGTGAGAGCGCTCGCTTCCCATCACTGGAGCCTGGGTTCGATTCACAGGTGGGTTGAGTTTGTTATTGGTTCTCCTCCTTGCTCCGAGGGTTTTTTACGCAAAACATTTATTTCAGTGTTACAAAAACGGTTCCATTTTCAGCCATCTTGGCGTACTTGGCGTGTGCGCGCTAACAATTCTGTTCTTGTTTAAGCTATAGGAACGATGGCGTTTGACGTTAGAGTTGGACTCTTTGACGACCCACCAAGCAAAGAAACTAAGAAAATGCTGAAAATGATCAAAGCTGTCTTCGATGGATTTGCACTCTTGGGAAAACTGAACAGCGGATGGGAAGGACTTCTTTATAGGTTTATTAAGACACCATCCTACAAAAAATTCGTCGAAACTCAAGACATCACGTTTTCCACCAGCCAAGAGATTATTGACAGAAAGGTTATGGAGCTGAACAAAATGGCAGAAGAAGGCGAACAGTTTCCTGAAAATCAAGGTTACTTATACGAACATAAATACGAAACTTTTCAGATACAGAGCTTCTTTAAGTGCGGGTGTCCTGTTAATTTATCATTCTATTTTGAGCTTTATAAAAAATGTTGCACGCTTCTTAAACACCGTAGCTCAGTAGCTTGTGCTGGTGTTTGTTACTCGGAGGCAAGAAAAACGACTCTCCTGTGTGAACTGACATTATCCACAGATTATAAGCAGTTTATAACCTCTTGCAATAGTAATAAATGAAGAGATTTGATTCCCTTCTGAAGGGTAAAGTTATTACTAATCTTTACTTTTTTTTATAGCTGTTCCTATGCTGGCCTACCTCATCATGAAGGGTGACCTCACGCCCAAGGAGATCAGCGTCAATTCTATTTTCATGTTTAGGGCGGGCGTAGAAACGGTAAGTCATAAAGCAATTGCCTCTTTATAGAAAACTATAACGTTAGTTCGACCGGTCAAAAATAGTAGGAAAGAGAACATCCTTCCTGATGACATATATCCACTTTATCTTCAAAGACCACAAATGGACTGCTGTGGGTCCTTTACGATCTGGCCCGAAATCCGAGGGTGCAGGAAAAGGTGTACGAAGAAGTAACCTCCCTGATTGGGACCCATGGAGATTTTACTCCTGAGAGCTTTGCAAAGTTGGAGTACATTAAGGCTTGTGTCAAGGAGAGTATGAGGTAGAAGTAATGTTGTTGTTATTTTTTTATCTTGAGAGGTACTTTTAAAATAAGCAAACAGAAAGATAGTGAATGGCTCCTCGTACAATTCCCAGTTTATACTGAACCCATTGCGAACTAAGTCTCTAAATTGTTCTCTTAGATTGCATCCCGTTGCACTAGGCTGGGCGCGTGTTCTGACACAGGATCTTGTTTTATCCAGTTACATGGTTCCAGCAGGAGTAAGTGCTTAACGATAAGTTATGAGTGACGAGGACTATGGGAAAAGCTGCAGGTCCTTCTTCCAGTTCCCCTCGGCATAGTTTCTCAGTTTTCCTCTTTGCCAAAGACTCTCAATCGAGGAGAGAGCGTAAAGTGTCCAAGAGAAGATCATTCTTTCAACATTCAGGATGAAAAAGGATATTTAGGCTCGTGATTCAACTCTTGACTCTTAGTAGGAGAGAGGGGTGGGGGCAATTATAAAATGGGACCCCCAGGACACCCCATTCAGGTTCGGCTACGCTCTTAAGTGAGTTGTCTTTAAAAGTGATTCAACACTCCTATGGTGCTAAAAGAAATCTATTAAGTTACTGACTCTTCAACCAATCGAAACAAAAAAAATGAAGCGTTTTACGTGCATCAGACTTACTTGATCATTTGTTCACTTGCGTTCATCCGACAATTGGAATCATAATTATGCCTTCACCAGAAGTACTTAAGCTTAGTCAAATGATCGTGTTTGACCTTGTGTTTCATTCAGACCATTGTAAGCTATTCCAATTACCTTTCTGGGCGCTCTGAGGAATTGTTTAAGTTTCCTTTGGAGTTCAGGCCAGAACGTTGGTTAAACGAGGATCTGGGAAAGATTCACCCATTTGCCAGTCTGCCATTTGGAGTTGGGAGTCGTATGTGCATAGGTGAGGTTTTTTCTGTATACAAAAGGTTTACATGCAGCAGATTTTTTCTTGGGCAACACATCACTTTGACCCCTCACCTATAGCTACGCATAAAGCTTAGTTTGTAAAATTAACCTCAGCTTTGAGCAAACAATGGTGACATCCGTATGAGCGCGACCTAACAGAAGACTTAACGAGTAGAACAATGATGGGTGTGCTCGTGTATTTCAAAATTTTAATTTGTAATTTTATAACATGTTCTCTAGCAAAAGAAAAACGTGAAAACGTTGATTTTGGCTATGTATTTGAGAGAACCCACACTGAAATCTTTCATGTTTTCTTTGAGAGTTTAAACCTACTTAGACCTGTACCTCCGCGGTTGTTTTTCTCCATACAATTACCTCTCTGTTTCTTTCCAGGGCGTCGCATTGCAGAAGCCGAAATATATCTTCTAACGGCAAAGGTAAGCGTGGGAAAGAAAAGTAGTTTGAAGGAGAGGAAAAATGAAATAATAATTGCATGTAAAAACATAAATGTATTACGGTCACCTCACCTTGGAAGAGTAAGCGCTTTAGGAACAAGGTCGAGTTATCGATATCTTGTCTTAATACATTAATTAAATACTTAAGTGAATTGCTATTAATTCGACAAATGTTTTTCTAAATGACAACTTCAGTTGGTCCAGCGATTCACTATGGAATACCACGATGAGCCAATGGGGACAAAGCTATCTTTTTTGGCTGTTCCCGACAGGCCCCTGAAGATCAAGTTTATCGATCGGGAATAGTTGTTATGGACGTGTAGTCATCAAGTGTCGCGGATGGTCATAGCATCGAACACTATGGTGCATAGCCAATCATAGAATAGGATGATGTACCACGTCGTTCAAATGAACCAATCGGATAGCTGGATTGCATCAGATTGCTATCTTGGATGCCAATCTGGCCATATGATTGGTTCATTTGTACCCCGTGGTACTAAATCCATCACTCTAATTGGTTGTATACCATAGTACCTCCTTAAACTACTCACACTGTATTGAAATCAATATCTTAATACCATATTATATAAAAAGGTGTTCAAGAATAGAAACCGCCTTTTAATGGAGGCTGCCATAGAAATCTTTTGAATCTGATGAACGCCGTAGCGTAATAGAGAAAATATGGTACGGGTAGCCTTTATCAGAAATGATTTTATAATTATTTGAAATTTTGAAGACACCTTAATCTATTTCTAAAAACCTTTCTTTTGATGACATTTTAAAACACCGAGTCTGCAAAATTAATGTGGGACTTCGATGTAAGAGAATTTCTTAAAAGAATTTTGTTTAATTCCAGCTTATTTCCTGGAATAGTTTCTTACAATAATTATATTCTTTATGCAAACTTCTGTGAAAAATTGATCACGTTGACATATTGGGATTTAGAGGAGCTCAGAAGAGAAACAGACCGTTAAACCGAATTAAACTTAATAAAGCACTTAACGATTAGGCGTCGTGAGAACTCCGAGCGCGGTTACCAAGTAACAAAAGGTTTAAGTCTTTGATTTGATTGGTAAAAAATTGCCACGAAATTTAAGTTTTGAAGTTTCTAAAGCAAGTAAAGTATAAGATTAATGCAAAGCTATTGAGTAAAGTGAAGCAAAATCAATGATATCTGGGATTACCTCCAACACCTCGTTGAAAATTCTCTAATCAGAAGCTATTAAATCGAGTTGTGTGTCTCAATGAACCGTTTCACTTCTGCTATTAAGAACTGTGCCCTCCAAATCAAGGGATTTTGAAAGTTATTCTGCATATCGCTTAACTAACTTGTAATTCTACGTACGGCTTTCATTTTAAAATGAGTCTTGTCGTTCTTGTATACTACACACAGGGTGTTTTTCTCTTAAATTGTGCTGAGTGATGGGTAAACTTCTTAAGTAGGCGCGCTGGTTTGAAGCTGTGTTTCTCCAAAATCTTTCAGTGTGATTCTACTCGACTGTAGCGAACCTCTGCTATCTGCCATGCGCTGGAGGTGAAACACTCGATCATCGACGCTCATGCCATTTGTTATATTATTCGTTTTCTCAAGAGTCATTACTCGTAGCCTTTTGCTCGAATCTAGGGAACTGAAAAAAAAGTAAAATACTCGACATTATTATTCCACATATCTTCCTCCTTTTTCATTGACCAAAATCCTTCCACGTGACCAACAAATACTAAACTTATACGGACTGTGTTCCAAATCCTACAGAAAAACAGTAAATCCCTGTCCAGATTTCAGCAATGAAGCAACTGTGAGGGGAAATGACCACACTCTTTATTTTGCTGAATTCCACACATTCCATAACGGCTACCCTCTCCCCCCGAACCTTTTTTTTTTTCCAGAAACTAGAAGAAGCAAACTTTGAGTGATGGTCAATTGAATCATTCAAAATGGCGTCCATTATGGCGCGTGAAAAGAAACCATACAGTCAGTGACAAATGCTTAAGCAACAACTATCTTATATTACCAATCTGTTTTCGTGTTAAGTTTACTCACTATTCTTTTGCCCCGTGCTTGCTGGCTTGTGTTCCTTTGACAAAGAAGATAACGAAAAGGACAGCTGTCAAAATGGAGATGACTGCAACTGTCACCACCACGATGATGATAATCCGGGTTTCCAAATCCGCTAAAAAAAAAAGGATTTATCAGAGTTAGAGACTGTGTGACTTTATGATCGACTGCTGACAGAATGAACAATATTAAACGTAAAAGGGTGAGAGTGAGTGAGAGAGGCACCGAAAACACGAACGAACGAGCTGACTAACGAGCGAACAAACGAACGAATGAGAGAGGGACCGGAAGCACGAACAAACAAGCTGACCAACGAGCAAACGAACGAACGAGTCAGAGAGGGACCGAAAGCACGAATGAACGAGCAAACGAACGAGCTTACGAACAAATGAACGACCGACCGAAAGCACGGACGTCTGCCAAAAATTATATAACCAATGTTCGGGAATCCTGACAAGAAACAAGGAAACAAACAAAGAGAACTCAAGGAAAGGGCTTTGGGTCTGACACTATTAATACTTTAATTATGTTCTAACCGTGACAAGGTATTGCGTTACAGCTCTCTATTTCTTGCGTAGTGTTACAGGAGTCACAAGTTCTGTTTCTTACACGTATTCCTCCCTCGCATGTCCGAGAGCAGGCGCTCCAGTGACCTATGAAAAAATGTGTAAGAAAATAAAAAAATAAGAATGGTAAAAAGAAAACCTAAGCGAAGGTACTTAAAGCTTCTTTAAGAGAAAAAAGAGCCTCTTCGTTGATTCTCAACAGGAAAATGCTATAATTACTCGATTAGACGCAATGGCATTGTGGCTCTCCAAAGCGGCTTCCTCTCTGACAACAATGACGGTAAATCATTACATCATGAGACAAACGATAAAACGTTCAGTTATCTATAAAAACCTCGCTGTTTAGAGATAGAATCCAATTTGTCTAACTTGCAATATCTACAGGGATGGTTGAGTTAATCGCGTTGTATCATACTCCTTTTCTTACAAACTTCGAGTGGGCACCGCGTTTCTCTCATGGAGTACGGCATTGAAAGGGCGGTTTTCATCGAAGACTATGCTTCTGTTTGCGACGTTTATTTACTAGCGGCGCTTTATTTGATAGCGGCGTTTGTTGACAATTCTGCATCCCTCTGCGATACGGTCTTTATTTGAAAGCGGCGTTTTGACCGAGTAAACCCAGGATATTACAAATACAGTTATGCCAGCTTAAAAACATTACAGATAATTGTTTTCATCGGAGGGAAATTTAATTCCTAACCTTAAGAATTTTATAAAATTGCCTCAATCTCACTTGATTTTACAGAGAATATTGACAACAAGGATAGTTAATCAAGAAATCAATAAATTGCGAATTGAATGAGTCGAAGGAAAGTGCCGGCTTGTTGACGTCACGGAACAGTGACCGAAAAGTCACAGGATCTCTTGTCAAGTTTATAAGCTGTCGTCTCAGTTATTTTAGAAAGTTCTTGTAAAAGAAAAATCCATTTTTGTGATGTGTACTGATTATTTTGTACAGTATTCTTGGTACCGTGCCCTGTTGTGTCTTGATGAGAGAGTTCCAACAAATGTCGATTTATCATGCACATGATATTCACATCACGATTATATCGTCGAGATGTTATTGAAATCTCCTCCACTTAACTCTAAGTACTACGATGGCATCAAGATCAGATAAGAGTAATGGTTTAACTACACGAAAGCAAATATTTATTCCAAGGCAAATATAAACCTAGTCTACATTTTGACTCTTGCGTTTTTCTTCAGTCTTCATTCATTTCCGGTTTATTTGTTCATGAAATAACTGAAATTTTCCACGACTTCCCTCGAGCAAATTTTGCCATTTTATTCTATCAATACAGGAATCCAAAAGAAAAACAGAAAATCCGCACAATTAGAGGCGAACAGGAACTCATTTTAAGCTATTTTGATCACGCTAACACTACCAGGCGCATACTTTGGGAAGATCGTGATGTGTTGCTCGGAAGGTAAAAGCTTCCTAAAGAATTATTCTATCAAAACACGGTTAAATCAAACGACACTTTACTCACCTAAATGGGATGAAAATGCGAGAGAAAACCAGGGTGCGAGGAAAACGAGCAGTTCTTTGTAATCAAGCATCTTAACGATGAAGATTAAACATCATGTAAACATTCGGAATCTTCTGGCACTGTCAAATCAATTCGCCCTCATCAAGCGTACGTGACTCTCTTCAGCTCAAGTCAATTCTGCTTTGCTTCTCTCCAGACCAGTATTTCGGAAGAAAATCCTTTCTTTCCTTTATGTTTTCCTTTCGATCGATGAATGAAAAACGACTTAAGCTCTCAGGATCTCGACCAACGATCATTACATGAAGCGCTATGCTAATTTAGTGTTTATGCTGGTGAATTATAAAAGGCGAAGTTAATTATGCAAATAAGTAAATGCGCAAAAAATAATTATCCATCCTTTACCGCATACATTAAGCATTACGTCACACGACAGATGATTCCCTCAAAATCATTCCATACAACTTCCTTGGAATTTCTTTTCGCGATAAAAGCCGAATCTTTTCTTTCATTTGTGAGCGAAAATGATGTGTGTCAATGATGCGACTGTTAAAAATGTTGCTTGTCTCGTGATTTCTTCCGTAATCTCATTTCCCGTTTTGATGAGCAAGACGGGTCTCAAGGCCATAAGGAACCTGTCTCAGCCAATCAGAATTAGGTATACCAGAAAATATTGGCCTACCAAAACCCTCCATTTAAGACTGTTAACTGTGGCACGGTGCGAAACAGGAAATTTATGAAAGAAACATGTTCACAGTCAGATTGGCGGCCTGCATGCCCTGAGGGGCACTCCAGCCTTTATTTGGTTGAGTTTGTGTCAGCAAATGTGGTATGGTTTTCGAGTTCTTGAATCTTAAACAGGATGTGCAACTTCACTATTTCTTATTTTCAAAATAACATCTTTCTTGACTACAAGCTCCTAAGATATACGGCACAAGCATCAGCGATCACAGTCTTCATTTCAGGGGATGAAAATTCTTCTCGAAAATATATTCTCTCTGAATATGTGCATGTGGCCAAATGAGGATGAAAGACAAGAATCTCCGATAATTTCACGGTATTAAAATGAGAGGACTTTTTTCGAAACAGGGGCAAAGTCTTATGTATTCTGCCACACAACGCCATCCAAACTTCAATCCAACCCCCATCCCACCCCCGGCTCTACGACGCTTGAATGGCTACATGGCTTTCCCGGGGTTTCTGTATTGCCTGAATGAAGCAGATCTGATTTCCAATTTTCCGTTGAATATGCAAAGGGCAATTTTTACTCTAAAAATAACCAACCTTTATTTGACTTACTTTTTGCTATTTTTTTTCGAATTGAAATGTACTGAATTCTTTGTCATCACAACGATTTAGAAAATAAGACTCCTAAATTCACACGAACGCTAGGTGTAAGTATTTGTCACAAAGTCACGCAAGCTATTTATAAATCCTTCTGTACTTTAAGGCCAAAGACCATGCCTGTCACGTAACCCGTAAGGTATTATATGCTTCTCACACAATCCATTAGGTATTACACTGACAATACTGCTTTGGTGTTGAAACTAAACTTTTGCATGACAGAAAAAAAAATAACGATAGTTATGAAAAATCATTTCCTCTTGCTACAGCTTGACATCATTTGGAGGTTTAACTACTACAGCATAAACGGGTTGAGGTTCCTGAGAGACAAGATCCTGGTCTCTGTCTATGATTTGTGTCTCTGTTACGGACACAACCTTAAGAGACATTCTTTTTTCACTCTTTGGCTGCTCTTTAGGCTGAAACTCCTCGTCTGCGCCAAAAGAGCAGCTAACTTCTCTGATGCTCTCATTCAGGCTTTCAGTGTCGAAAACGAAGTCGTCAAGTCCAGTCTCCTCGGGTTCCGGGAGAGGTTCGGGGAAGCTTTCGACTGATGGCATGTGACGAATGGTAGAACTATGGGTACTAATCGAGTTGTCGTACATTCTTTCGATAGCTTTAGATATGTTGCTGAAGAAATGGGACGAAAGGATAATTCAAAGTCAACGTTTAAAATCTGCAACTAATTAAGGCAACTTTTGCTACATTTAGCTACACGGGATCTGGGCACGAGACAAAGTTTTGTTCATAGCTTACCTGTAGCCGTACCTCCTCCCCCCCCCCCCCCCCCAGGTAAAAACGGAGGCGAGGTTACCTCGCTTCCATTTCACCTTGGGGGGGAGGGTACAGCTACACGTAGGCTATCTTGTTCAAAAAAAGTCCCATACCCAGACCTTACTCCGCTGAGTGGTTTTTACAGTCAAACGGTCGGATGCGGATACAAGAGAAGCCCAAAGGTAAGTGTCTTTTTGTTGTTAGATGGTCGTAAATAAAGAGAGTTTCGGTGCAACTTACTTATCTGTTTGGGGGTTATGTCTTGTTATCAGGCCTTGATTCAGTTTTTTTTTTTCTGGAAGCCTGAACTACTGGTTTCAACTATTGAGAGACGTTTTGCAATCCAACAATGCCTCTCTCAAGTAAACTCTTTCAACAAGCCATCTCCGAATTACCTTTAGCCTCTTTCACTGTTCTCTTTTGATGAAATGAGATTTCAATCACGAGCTATCAAACTCACTTCCACATGATGCTTGTGTACCAAGCCTCCTACTAATCAAGAGGCTTGCTACCAGGAGGTTGCTAGACCATCAATTTATAGAATGGACTGCTTCGGCTCCAGTCTCCCAGCTAGACTAAACCTGTTCACCATTCTATTATTGATCTCGAAAAGGGAGAAATGCTTCGCGTGAACAAAAATCTACTTTATCTAAAATGGCGACCGCATGGGTAATAGTTGTGAGGCAAATGAGTGACCCTTTCGACTCACCTTTCTTCATCTTTCATTCTGGACTTTTCCATTTTGATTTTAAAGAGAATCACAAAAATTACAATGATTACCGCAACAATGGCGGCGCAAATCAACGCCAACGATAAAATCATTTCCAAACCTAGATAAAGAGAAATAACTGTAAGGTGCTGCTTTACTAAAGGACTTCTTGGGATAGTCGTTTCTCATTTATTATTAGGGACCTTAAGCAGTCATGACTGTAAGGCCGAGGAAGACGTCGTTAAAAAAAATGGAATTCATTCTTTCTTATTTGGAATTTCGTGCATGCCTGGATGTTTTATATTGTCTCTTACGGAGCCACACCTGAGCAGCATTGAGTTTTTAGTGGAAACTCAAACAATTTGCCGTCGGGTCTTTGTTATCAGACCACGCAAATTTTGGTAATTTCAAGTTGTTGTTTTGCAGAGGGCGGTTAAGAATTGTACTGCCCATCATGTCTTCATTAACTTATTTATTTATAAAAAATAATAAATAAATAATATTTATAAAATTATAAAAGCTGCATATTTAAGATTTAGACTAAGTACAATTATGTAACAAAAGTCAGTAAAGGAAATTTTACAACAATCACTTACTAAAACAAGATGAAGAGCTGCATTCTCTTCTATCTTCCAATCTTTGTTCACAATCAGATGAGGATGTACATGTACGAGTCCTCGTTTGTTCACCATCACAGGACTTAGAGCATTTGCCCCAGGGACCCCAGTTACTCACAGACTGCCCAACTGTAGGATAACAAAAAGTCACTCTGTTAACAGAAAATTGTGCACTACCTTGATCGAGCATTGAGCGTTGCATAAATGAATGATCTGGTCAAATCTGACCGACAAGAATTGAAATCAGCAGGTTTGAGATTTTTAACCTTATCTTCGATTATATCAGTCAAATACGCTTAATTAAGAATTGAAGATGAACCAGTAATAAATGACGCATGCGCCATGAGGGTAAAAACAAGAGCACATAAATTTGATCCGAATTTTATTTTAATTGGCTAGCTATACCCAAAAGTTGTGAGAGTGAACAAATTTTGCTTCCCTGTGACTTTAAATTGATTAAGCAGCCTCTTTAAAGAACCATTCGCTGGTAGACGTGAAATTTAATTCACCACATTTTCTTCTTCCTTTTAAATTATCGACTTGAAAAACTGAGTTTAGTTCAGCAGCTTCTCAATATCATGCAATTTTTTAATTTATTCATCATTTGAAATAACTTTCAAGACCTACTTGAGGGTCTATTAAAACATCTGTAGATTTGCTGATAGGCATAGTTTTCAAAGACCATGTAGCAGACAGAAGGGACTGTGAGAAGCATATGAATGCATCGTAAGGTAATTTTTAAAATACACTTAATTCCAGAACTAGGAAGCCTTTGGTGGGTTACCGGTTGGCTAGGAACAGTAGTGTTTGAACAACTACAGAGGTTTCAGAATGACTTCATCGTCTCGTTCCCAACAGGTGTTCTGAGAGTCCTATTAAATTCGCTGCACTTTGAGTATTCAAAAGATTGAAAGCTTTCGATAAATCATTGTAAAACGCCATAGGATAGCTTTAGTGGAATCCTCTAGATCTTTTTAGTAAAAAGAAGAAATGAATCTGTACCGGGGTTCTCAATTCAGTTTGCTTTCGCAAAGCTCTCTAAAATTCACTTGCTAAATTACTGTCTTAATTTCGGGAGATATTGATTAGAGTTCAAGAATTTCGAAAATTGGAGGGAAAAAAACCCTTGAATACAACACCATTCATGTTACGCTTCAATTCTTCCAGTTGGCGTGTTGGTAATCATGAATATTCCACCAAAACATGCAATTGCCGTGAACAAAATCGAAATGGATGACACTTGAAAATAAATTATTAATCAAAATGGGTATATTTGTTTACTTGTTCTTCGTATAAACTGAAATTTTTATTTTTCAATGCGAGGAAGTATAAACGGTTTGTTGCGGGAAACGAAACCTTACTGCTGTATTAATAATAACCTTTGAAAGATTATTTAACGTCTGCTAACGCTAATTTGCCAAATGATAGGCGCGAATAACATTTTGACGAACTGATTGTCAGTGAGTAACAGTTTCCAAGGTAGCCAAAATACATTACATATATCCTAAATAGCTTCAGAAATGGCGTGTGATGCATTTAAGGACAGAAACCACCGACTAGAGCACACGCTTGATTAAACATATAGCAGCAATATTCCATTTAGGAGTATTTTGTGTTGCTAACCATGCACTAACCCGAAAATGTTAACTTCCTTCGATGCATATACAAGGGAGATCTTACTTGAAAGCTCTCTAATTGAACAGATAAATAAATTTACTACAGCAACGGCAGTTTGACGCACTCACCTACGTCGTGGAAGGGAAATATTATTTGGAAAACAGCTACAAAGTATACTCTGGTTGAAACAAATGCCATCTTTGCTGTAAACCAAATCCTTTTGAAACTTTTCCCTTTTTCAACCGCAGAATCCTTCAAAATGTCACCATTCGGAGCCAAAAGTTGTAAAAGCCTCTTAATTTGCAGGTATAAGTCATAAACAAACGCCAGAAAACAAAGGCTGGTTTGTGGCCGGATTGAAAGAGAATACTTTTCTACAGCAAACTAAAGACCTCTGAGTATCATAATTACGTGGTTCCTACGGAGTTTCGATGCTCGAAATTAAATTTACGAATGTCGCGTGGTTGAGTAGACTCTAAATGACTATTATTTTCCAAACGATTGCTTTCGTCATAGCCGTCAGAAATAGCCTCTGTTGGAGAGAAAAAAAAAACAAAGAGAACAAATTTTTGCCAGAGGCATGCAGCAGTTATCCAATGAAAAGTGAAACAGCAGCAATTTTATTAAGGCATGACTTCACTCTCTTGTTTCCCTATTCGACCGCGGAAATGCTTGTATTTTTAAAATATATTTCGAGTGTTTTCTACGTGAGATTTCGATTTAACCATCTATTTTGGCAATAAAAAACAAAATTTGGTTTCAAAGAGTACTTCAGATTGGAATTTATTGGTACTTGGTTAAAATCGGTTAAAGACTCTTAAACAGTCTCTTTTCGGTTTTTGGTCTCAGACTGCGCACAGCATTTTTGGATCGATAAAGCGCCTGAATTAATTTTTTTTCGAGGTCAATTATTTACTGATGTTTGGGACCGCTCATCATATACCTCATTTGGGTGAGGTCGGATGATTTTTGCTGTGTCACAACGAAATTTGCACGGCGATAAATGGAGTGAATGAAACAAAATAACACACTTAAATAAGTGACTTTTTCATTGAATTATTAAATTGATCCTTAAATAAACTTTTTCATTTAATTATTTTTTTTAACGGCGATAAATAACTGATCCTTTAAATAAACTTTTTCATTGAATTATTTTTTAACTTATATAAAATACATATAGCTATGATAAAAGGCGAATTCCTCTCTAACAAGCCTGGGCCTTTCCTTAAAATCGTACAAAGAATACTCAGACCGCATCATGCGCCAAATTGAATTGCAATTTACTTACCACAATGGCTGTGAATGTTAAAAAATCATATGTGTGAACCGTGGTTTATGAAATGAATACGAAAGCGATCTTTTACGGTAATGAATTCTACTTAAGCAGTAGTGAAAGTAAGATCGCTTTCATATTCATTTCTTAAACCACAGTTCACAAGTATGATTTTCATATATTCGCAGTCATCAATTCATCACTTCACAGTTTTATTACGAACCAACATAACAACCAGTTCCCAATTGGCTTAATAGCTCAGTTGGTAGAGCACTGCAGCCGTATCTTAGAGGTCGTGAGTTCAAATCCCGTACTGGCCTGAATTTTTTCGGGGCTCATTTTCACCACTGCTCAAGTAGTGTTCATTATTGCGAAAATCGCTTTTATATTTATTACGTACGACCATCGTATGAAATATTTTTTTGCTCGTACTCCGGGCCCGGAGAAGTAGAAAATGGGGACTTTGAAGAAAACGTGCGTCACAGAAGATATTCCTAGGCGGAAATAGGCTAGAAAGTGTGCCGCTCTCTAAGCCAAAAATCCATGTTTCTACCCTGAAGCGAAGGGAGGATGAAAGGGAAGTAGCTCGACGAGACGAAAAAAACAGATTTCCACTGAATGAATATTCAAATCACAATGTAAAACTAAAGGTTACGTCGGAAACAGATCGATTAGATTATTGTAAAATAAGAAACTCTAAACGCACGTGCATGACATCCACGCGCTATCACGCGATGCGTGTTTTTCCCACAATGCTTGACGAACTACCGGTACCCAGACTTCCCTCCAGCAGAGCAGGCATGAGCTTTGATATTTTCTAATCAGTGTATTCAAGATTGTTTAGTAATTTGCCCATTTTCTGAACTTTGGGGCCTCGATAGGCCCAGAGAGGAATGAATGCTGCCAATAACGAAGCATGCTGACTTATCTACGGGGTCTAACGCACACGAAAGAGAAACAAACGTGGCGGAAAACGGCGGACCAAGGAAGAAGAGGCGACTGAGCAACACTGTCAAGAACGGAACGTGTAAGGCAAGCCCCGATCCTCTGCAGAGTGAATTGAATTTTCACCCTCACAAGAAACAAAAGACAATTCTTGTTCCGGGAGGCGTCGAAAACGCTGGTTCCTCGATGGCTGAGCCGCAGAGAAAGGCGAATTTTTCTGCTTACGGAAATCACTTTCACGAGCGCTCTCCTCTTGCAAACAATTCTGCTAAGCCAGGCCAGGCCAAGAAGCTCGTGATTAAGAACTTCAAAGGTTAGTCTTATTTCTCTCTCCTTTTTTCTGATGCTCAAAGGGCTGAAACCTTAAGTTTTTAACTGTTTTATCCCAGAAAGACATACGTGAGCATACTTAATGAAAATGTACGCTTTATTCAGTCTAAACGTTAAAATAACAAGCCTAATTGCATGGCTTACACGAACCGCTTCGTTTTGTGAACAGAAAACAGTAATTCTTCAGCTAAAGCATTGGCGTATGAATTACTTTCATTTCAGTTATGTGATCAAAAGCCTCTGTTTACTTCTGTCGTGCTCTATGTACATAATGACACTTCCAAATGGAAAGCAAAATGTTAAATTTAAAAGTTCAATCGATTTAGCGCTGTATAACGTCACTGTTTATAACTTACTACTATACGTACATCAATTGTTACTTATATTTAACCTGTTTTTACGTTTGACTGCTTAATCACCGACGTGACGGTAGTTTTGGTTTTTAACGAAACTTCCTAAATCCTCCAAGTACTTGTTAAACTTTTTGCACAATTTTCACAGATGTACATAGTGCCTAAAAGACATTTTGTGTACAACAAATAATGTCAAGGCTAAACACAAACAAATTTTGTCTCAATTGTTGTTGTTTTTTCTGTGGTATATGATAAAAGAATGGCAATTTTGTGGTCTGTGACAATTCACTTTGCTGTAGAGATGCCAGATTTTTTAAATGGCACCAACAGTAGTTCCAATATTGTAATTTTCAGGAACATCTAGATGCACTTTCATTCTCTGAGCAAATATTTAAATATTATTAGCAGTTACATGACTTTAAGCATGAAATCCCAAAAGACCTAGTTCTACTACATAGTTTTAAGGCTAAACCCAGAGCAAGAGGTCAAAAGTTTGTATTTTATTTGAAATTTAAAACTCAACAATTACCTAGTGTACTTCATTCAATCTGGCAATTCTACAGGACTTAAGTTATATTTGAGAGACTACAGGAATAGACAATGACTTGTTTTGCATTAGTTACAAGATTATCAGTCAACCCTTTAATTCCCAGAAGTGATTGACATGTAACAGGTTACAAGAATACTTAACCCTTTAACTCCCATGAGTGACCAAGACAGAGTTTCTCCTTACAATATCATTACAGTATTAACCGGGCAAGTGATGAGAATGAAGAAAAATATCAATTTGGGGATAATTAGTTGATCCAATACTAAATTCTCTGAACTAACATTATAAGAATTGTATGGTTGACAGTAAGGAGAATTACAAATTTGATACGGGAGTCAAAGGGTTAACTAGTCATATAGAAGTTGTTATCATGATGTAGCACTAAATTCATGTTACGTATTTATAAGGAAACATTTAACCACTAGAAGGGAGAATTAAAAATCAGATCTTGGGAGTTAAAGGGCTATCTAATACTTGGCTAGCTATCAATGTGAGTTTTTCTCCTCACTACAAATTTGTTTTTACTGAAAATTTAATTTTTGGTAAATATCATTAATTCATAGATTGGTTATTTGAAATTTATTGAAATCAGCATTCAGATTGAATTATTAAATGAGAAAGGCTGAATTATTTTCAAACAAGTAAGTTCTTCCATCACTTAAGGATAAAAAAGCACAAACATTTATGTTTAAAATCTGTATTTCAATCAGCAGGAAAACTCAACCTGATATTGTAAGAGGAATTTTGTAACTTGTGAGATTTTAAGGGTTATTTTTAATCTTTGGAGTCATTGAAAAATTGATTTGATTCAATTCAATCACTTCTGAAAATGGATACAAGCTTAGTAAAGTGAGGTGCCATGCCCAAGAACTTAATAAATTAAGCGGGCCAGTCACAAACCAAGACATTTCAGTCCAGTGGAGCAGTTTCCTAACTGCTAGTCCACAGAATCTCTTAGAACCCAACTTGATCAATGACCTATCTATTTGTGTTTGTCCTTCTAGCCAAGCCAAATTTGCCCGAGAACTTCAAGGAAGCAACATGGCAGAAATTAAAGGAGGCTGTTCAAGCAATTCACAAGAAAACATTTGTCATTTACAGCTCAGAGGAACTTTATAAAGCTGTTGAAAACATGTGCTCCCACAAAATGGCTGCCACATTGTATGACTTGTTAAAGGCAGAGTGTGAGTCACATGTGAGGTCAAATCTTCAACAGTTTGTTTGATATCCTTTTTGAGTTGCCCTTTATTTACATGTAATTTAGGGCTTTTGTGTGAAAGGGTAGCATATCGTTTTTGGGACTGACTTTTGTTTTTTCTGCGGGATCAAGCTATTTAACTTTTGGCAGACTGGTTGATTTGTGCTTACTTCAAAGGAAATTGCACTGTTTTGCAGATAGGAGGTTTTTTTTAAAAGCTTTATGATATTGTGTGACCAGGAACAAAAGCTCATGTAATGGTGGAATTTTAAGCTCAGTTAATTTATGGACAACATAGCACAAATCCTCCTTTAAATTTTTCACATCAAAACAAATTTGTCTGCTGGAAGTTTTTTTGATCCTTTGTAAGTGAAAAGCATCACAAAAATGATACTCATCCATTCGGCAGTGAAAAGGGCTTCAAGCTCAGGGATACATTATGTGTGAGTGTATATACTTTTCATTTTTGTACACATGCAAAATGCATTTCAGTGTTCCCATTCACTTCTGGTGACTAGGTGCTTGAAAGAAGACTTAAAGCACGTTTCAAAATTTTTATTGGTCCCTTGTTCTAGTAAAGTTAATGTCCATGCTATAGTATTAGATAGTTTTTTCTCTTCTTTGGCCTAAAAAATACAGTGCAGCTGTCCCATGTTAATCCCAACTGTGTCTAGTTAACCTGTTAGGGAGAGAGTGACTAGCATCTAATTTCTCCAAACATCACAACTTAATCAAACACTAAGGTAATAAGAATGTAGGAAATGATCATCCACTCAAGATGCCCTTGATTGTGAAACAAATTCTCTTGGTCAGTACCATAGGAAATGTATAGAGAACTGTGTGACAAATATGCATGCTGTTGTGAAAGTGTGGAGGGTTGATTGAGAAGGAAACACTTAGCTTGTACAAACCAAGCACAAATCAACCCTTACAAGCTAAATCATGCATGTCAGAAGCATGGCAAATACTTACTTGTAACAGGATATAAAAACCATCAGAAGGAAATACTTCTTCAAACTCCTTAACTGTCAGTTACTGATTCAATGGATAGTGAGTTGTACCTGTCAAAACTAAACCACTGTTGGGAAAACCATTGCAGAGACATGGTATGTTCACACACAAGACAGGGGTTTCAATAAGTTTTGAAGTAGACGGCATAAAACTGCAAAGTACTCAGCTAAGAGAAGTTGAATCTTTACTCAAATTTTTCTACTTTCAGAGAAAACATGTGGAAATTTTGCTTGACATACATGTACATGTAGACTAGTGGAAATCTTAGTAGCATAATAGTCAGTGCACTGAATTCTGAGTTCAGAGGTCTGGGTTTATAACCAGGGGGGGGTCAAAGTGTTGTGTTCTCGGGCCCCTCTCCTCTTACGAGTATAAATGAGCACTAAAAATTTGTCAGGAGGCTTGATAGAATTTTAGGGGGGTAACCTTGTAATGGAATTGTATCCCATCCAGCAGGGAGTAGTAGTACTCTTAGTTGCTCTGTGTATGGAAACTAGGATAAGCTCTGGCTTGGGGGGGTGGGGTCACTTGGCTCAAGTACAGGTTTCACCTTTCATGAATTTGCAGGTCTCTGGCTCTCTTTGAAACCCATGGAAGAGGGATGTAAACTTAAGTGTGGCAGTATAGCTGTTAATATACTAGAATATGCACAGAAAAACAAAGAAGTGAAGAAATCTTTTTCCCTCTTTCGTCTTTCTTGCAGATTATGATTAGAAGCATTTTTCTGTATCTGGACAGGACGTATGTTCTTCAAAACTCAACAATATTATCCCTGTGGTAAGAAAAATCTGACTGTTTAAAACGAACTTGTTTGTTCTTGCTACTCTTGCATTATTACAGCTGTAGGGTAGTATTTTTCCAGAATTGACGCCAAAATTATCTCTTTTTTCCCATAACCCCTTGGAGATCATGGAGAGAAAAGTATTATCTATACATTGTCCAGCTGACAGTTGACGAGAGTACACAAACTTATCAGTCACTGAGAGTTCTTTTGTTACGACAACAGTCTCTTCACCCTTTGACCCCTAAGACTGACAAAGATCTAATTTCTCCTTACAATACTACCCCTGAATCAAACATTAAGGTTACAAGATAAAGGAAATGATCAGCAACTTAAGAAGCCCTTGATTGATAAAGAAATTCTCCCTGTCAGCTCCTTTGTAAATGTATAGAGAAAGTATGGAGAATATGTAGCTGCAGCAAGGCAATCAGGTTAATAGATGTATAATATATAATTTATTGTATTGTTTTGAAGGGATATGAGTCTGAATTTGTTTCGTACACACATCATGAGTAACAAAACAGTACAAGAGAGGACGGTGGATGGTTTACTGCAATTAATAGAAAATGAAAGGTGAGAATTATATAAACAAGATGATTGTATGATTCTTAGTATATATCATGCACTCAAGTAAACAACAGTTTTTATGCATGCTGATTGGCTACTTCCAGAGACAGCATGGCAAGATTTTTATCAGTTTGATTTAAGCTATGTGTTTGTATATTGTCAAAAGTAAAGAAATTTTTGGTCATTTGGTGATTTAGGCTTTGACATGTACATATTAGATACAAGAAAAACAGATATTTGCCTTAGGTGTAAGTAAAAGTGGTGAATGTTTACCCTATTACCTCCTGGCTCAAGAAGTGTCCATCATTATTTACCTGCTCCTTGTTGAAGTATGGTTACTTACATACATGAGTGAAAGAAACTGTGTTGCTGCATTGCTAGTGATGAACAAGATAATTTGGCTTTATTAACTGACTTGATAATGTGAATTGGCCACTCAGTGTAAGGAGATTCTAGGGCTGATGTTTCGAGAATCAGCCCCTGGCACTCAGACAAAGGACTTATACTCAAATCATCGGTGTTAGAATATCTTAACAGTGGCAAATTTAAATTATCAATTTAGTTAATAAAACCACATTATGGTCAGTTATTATTGGTTTTTGTGTGCGTTTGTTTCTTTATTACACCCATTTTGAAATCACTGGTGGTCCCTGTAATCTGATTGGCTCTAATTGATGCGATTTATTCACGAATCACACCATTTGTTGCTTTAAGTCGCATCTTTTTTCCAGCCAATGAGGTGGCTACACTTAAAACAAAACAACCAAGCAGATTTCAAGTTTGTTTAAATAACCGATCAAATTGCAGGAAAATTGAAGACAAAGAGTATCATGTGGCAAATTTTGCAACTTTTGTCTCCAAAACTCTTACTTTCCCCCCCCCCCCCAAAATGGATGAATTAAATTTCCGGTCCGGCTCAGTACTGCATCAATAAAATATTTGAAGTTACCAAGTCCTGTATTTGGGTGATTTCAAAATGGATGTGATAAAGCGGTAATTGAACCTCGTGTCGTACAATTTTGGTCTGAAATCATACTTGTGATTTCAAATCGAACTCGTTTTCAAATCGCGCTCGTTTGATTTTGAAATCACATGTATGATTTCAGCCCAAATTGCACTCCTCTCAGTTCAATTACCATTATTAATTCCACTCTTGTCCTTGGTTTAAATGACTAATTTGAAAAAAAAACCTTCTAGTTCATTTTAAGTGATGGTTACATTGTATGTTCTTTTTATATTTCTAGACATGGTGAAGCAGTTGACAGAACATTACTTAAAAGCTTGTTGAGAATGTTAGCCGACTTGCAGGTAAATTCATGAATGCACAGAGTAGTTTGTGGTGGTGAAGTGGTAGCTGAATGGTTAACCTGGTAGACTCTGGGTGGAAAGGTCTGGGTTTGAGATGTAGCTGAGTCATTGTTTTGTGTTCTTGGGCAAGACACAGTGCCTCTCTTCACCCAGGGTCAAGGTGAACTGTCAGGAAAGCTGACAAAGTTTTGCAGGGGGGGGGGGGGTGGAGATGGATCAATGTAAATGCAATAAGCTCAATTTAATTCTAACCCTTAAAATACAGCATTTTATGTTATTCATTACCAGGGTTGTAGATAAGAGCCGGCAGCCAGCAAAGTATACTAGCTTCTCTGCAAGGTTTCGCCGGCTACTTTCATTGTTTTGAGAGCCTGTACAGAGATGATGTTTATCAGGTCTAAACTTGGGCTCAATAAAAGTATAAATTTGCACTGCCTATCTTTTCTGACTCAAGTTTAGTTTAAAAATGTTCTGATGGGGACTGTCTTTTTGACAAATCTTGCTGCGGTGGCAGGAAAGTGCCATACAACGTTTTGTCCACCATATTGGATTTCGAGACCCACAACCGTTTACCTTTAAAAAAGCTCCAGCTACTTAAAACCTTAAAGAAAACCCTGCATTGCATGCCACATCACTACTTGTGCAGTTGATTATTAAGTTATTGACAGAATGATTGTGTGCTCTTGGATTAGATGTATGAGGATGCATTTGAAACAAAGTTCCTGAAGGCAACAGAAGCTCTTTATCATGAGGAGGGAAACAGATATATGCAAGAAACAGATGTAAGTTACCATCCCTTCTACAATATTCAATAATGGGAATTGCATTTGCTTTACTTTGCTGTACTTTCTTCTTTTTTTCATGCAAGAAAATTTTTACCCCAGATAAATCAGATGCCAAATAGTTATAACCAGTTTCAACATCGACACTTGCATTGCCTTGCTCTGGTACTCTAAAAACATGTTGCAGTTCAAAACCAACTTTTGTTGCATGTAAATTGCTGCTTGTAAACTGGTTACAGAAAAAGGTTCATGTAAATAGCAGGATGTATTTTAGCCTGCGTCAGGAGCAGCTTCATGGAATTGTAAACGTGAAAAGCACTGTACTGTTAGTTTGATGTGTCCTCCTTCCTCTCTCTGAAATCACCAGGTACCAAAGTATCTTGCTCATGTGGACAGAAGACTCAAAGAAGAAAATGACAGACTGCTTCACTACTTAGATCAGTCTACAAGGTAATAACTCCCCTTACTTTGAGACAGAATTAGGAAATGGGGTTGTGCAATTAGAAGAGTTAACAATGGGAAGGGAAGGTGGGTTAGAAGAACCTCTTGGAGAATGATTTTGGAAGGGAGTGGAAGCTTGAGCTGTTGAAAGCTTGGTGTTGAAGTTCTGTGATGCACCTTCAACTTCAAAGTTTGCATGGTAGTGAGAGGCTTGATAAACATGTTTTCAAACTTCTTGAAAGTGTCTCAGTACACTGTTAATACAACTGTTTCTTTTTATTTATTTTTCTAGAAAACCTCTGATTCCTTGTATTGAAAAACAGTTGTTAGGCCAACATTTGACCAGCATTCTCCAAAAAGGTAAGTTTATCAAATGCACTTATATCAGGGTTTGGAGGGGTCCTGGAAAACCTAGAAAGTCCTGGAATTTTATTTTGCAATTTTCCAGGACTTTCCAGTCCTGGAAATCTGCTTAAAACTCGAGAAATGAAGTTTTCAGAATTTTTACGGTAAGAGAAATGTAAGTGGACGGTAAGGAAGATTGATTTTGAATTCTTGGGAAAGAGTGAAATTTTGAGCCCTGGATAAAATCAGTCTGAATCCTGGAAAAGTCCTTGAATCTGTCTCAGAAAAAGAGTATGAACCCTGTTATATGTATGTATTTTAGTGGTAAGTTGGACAATCTACACAATGCTTCTGACACATGCTTCTGCATTACGAACAAAACTTGTGTGATGTCATGCAACACAACGTTAGTTTTTACATGTACAAGTCTTGCTTATTTAACTGATATGACATTTATTTGTGTGGCTGCCTGATCTTTCTCGGGTTTCAAAAGTTCTCTATTATAAGACTTAGAGCACCTTGGAAATCTGTTGATCATGGGTCTTTTTTGCGTGTGTTTCTCTTTTAGGTTTTGACAGCTTGATGGCAAGTTACAGGCTCGGTGATCTAGCCCTACTATATCAGTTGTTTAGCAGAGTGAAAAGAGGACAAGACGAATTATGCAATGCTTTCAATGAATACATCAAGGTAAAGAGGAGATGCAGGAATTTCATATTACCTTTAACCTCGTGTGTTGTCGCTTTATAAAGACACTATTTACTTTGGTTGATATGGGTTACTCTCGTGAACAGAGGTCTTGTTTACGTTCGTTTCATGCCGAGAGTTTGAGCTGCCTGTGCATCACCTCTAACAGCCTCCCACTTATCAAAATAACTCAAAGAAAGCAACGTGCAATTGAAAGTTAAATGTAATTCAGGGTTGCTTTTGTTTTTCGGTACTTCTCTCTGTGATTGTTCCAAAAAACTCCGTCCACTTTCTCAACCAATCAGATTAAAAATTGAAATCAACAATGACGACCTGATCACCCGCGTTTTCCCGCGCTTTTGGCAGGCCGCGTGTTTTTACTTTGAATTTTCATTGGTTAATGATGATGTCAACCTTTGCTCTGATTGGCCGTTTTGGTCACTTTGGGTTCGGAGTTTTGACGCTCACTCAAGGCCTGCTTTATTCTTTTCCGTGTTTTTTTTTTTTCAGAAACAAGGAACTAGCATTGTTCTTGATCCTGAAAAAGATAAAAGTATGGTACAAGATTTGCTGGATTTCAAAGAGCAGCTTGACAGCATCATAGAAGACGCTTTTATGAAGAGTGAGAAATTTGTTAATGCAATGAAGGTAGACCTGTGTTTGGTTTTGAAGAAATTGGTGATGTAATAGGATTCCCTTTTTCTCCAACACTCGATATCTTCACCTTGTGTAGTGAACGTGGAATTTTGCATGTTGCACGTGTGACTATAGCAGTGTTGTTATGGTAACCGAAAATATAAACGTACGGGTTTTTTCACCTTTGAGGGGCTTTTTGAAGGTGGAAGCAGTTGAGTTCACATGATGGTCATCAATTTATCCGGTGCTCTCATAGATAAAATACGAATTCAGATGCGGCAATGTATTCATTTCTTTGAAAGCGTGGTTATAATCCAAATAATTATGAGTCAATGTAATTCTCGTGCAGTGCAGTAATCAGAAAGCAAACCGTATTCTTTGTTTTTTTTTTATTACTATTGGCGCCTTTTTTCCGGCAAAGAACTGCACAAAGTATTCCGCATATCCACATATTCTGCCTTTCCTTACTGATCAGTCATCGTTTGGAAGGCTGTGCACAGCTTTTTGTTGTGTTTCTTTGAAAGTACAGTTTGATTTAAATACTTGTAGTCTCTTTTGTGGACTAAATAAGGCTTAAATGACAATTACTCAAGATTATATTTCAGCTCGGGATAATTGCCAGTCCTGTATACTCTTGTGTAAAATTTGCCTAATATTTAAGATTGACTATGTTGTTTTTGTCCGTCATTGTAGGATGCCTTTGAAGCATTTATTAACAAGAGACCGAACAAACCTGCAGAACTAATAGGTAAATGAAACACGAAGCAATACAATTAGCCATTTCTGTCTTGGAACTGATCATTTTATAGCCAGCTCTTTGGAGCATGCAATGCAAACTGTGAGATTGTGTAAAGTGGGAGGGCACGGTAAGTACCCCCACCCCTTCTCTCCTTGTGTCCCTGTCCCCCTCCTCCCGGGTAGAAATTTGTAAAACTTCAACATGGTGGCGGATGTTTTCGCCAAGAAATACGAAGCGCAGGGTTACCAAAGATACGTTGCATGTAGCATGGAGTGGAGGGTTTGTTGCAGTGTACATTGCGGTATTGTGCTGTAACTTCTTATTTCTTTCTTTTCCTTCTATAGCAAAATTTGTTGATTCCAAGCTAAGAGCAGGAAACAAGGTAAATCAAAACAAAGAGTAAAACGCACATGTGCTTTTATTTATTAACTATTTGACCCCTAAGAGTAACTAGCATCTAATTTCTCCTTACAATATCAGCCCTGAATCATACATTAAGGTCGCGAGAATTTAGGAAATGATCACCAACTAGGGGAGCTCTTGATTGTTAAACGAATTCTCCTTGTCAGAACCTTAGGAAGTATATAGAGGACAGAATGGGGAATAAACACACTGATATTAGGGTGTTAGTGTTGATGGTGTGCATAAATGGAAGCTGAAAAATTAATTTTTGTCTGAAACTGTTTGTACAGGAAGCAACTGAAGAGGAACTTGAAAAACTTTTAGACAGAATAATGGTGCTCTTCAGATTTATCCATGGTACGTATTTACGAAAGTATTATGTGGGATTGATAAGTAAGTGATGACACCCACCGATCATCGTGTCCCTGAATGTGCACGCGTTGCGGACCAATTGTTTTGAAGCCTTGTTGTTGTTGTTGTTATTATCCTCAGGTAAAGATGTGTTTGAAGCATTTTACAAGAAAGACCTGGCAAAGAGACTATTGGTTGGCAAGAGTGCGTCGGTGGATGCAGAAAAATCAATGCTGTCTAAACTGAAACAAGAATGTGGTGCAGCATTTACAAGCAAGCTTGAAGGCATGTTCAAAGACATGGAGCTTTCCAAGGATGTGCTGGTTCATTTTAAACAGGTGAATTAAAGTAGAGTAGCAAAAGCGACATTGAGTGATTTTCCAAACCAAATCGTCCGATCGTTCTCTGTCATGTCGGCCGAAATGTGACATTCATAGTTTGGAAGAGTTCTTCACCCTACTGCACTCTACGCCTTTGTGAAGTGAACCCTTTTGACTTTTTGACTGAGAGTATATGCAGGTTACTGTGTTGTTAGGTTTAAAGCAGGCTCAGACCTCCTGTTATTCGGTATTATTTATTTCGGAATCTCTCTGTGAGTTCCTTTATGTGGGGAACGATTACTTGGTAGGCTTTTGTTGGTTTGTTCGTCGATGGAGTCGCCGCCTTTACCAATCTGTCGTAGTGCTTCTTCTCTCTTTGGGTTTGAGCCCCATTCCCTCGCTGTGTAGCGTTCAATGGGAGATCTGGGCCAAGTTTCTCACTAAATAATGGCTAAGTGAACAATTTACAGGCATGGAGGATACGTTGGTTTTCCGTATCTGTTCTTCTTCTGTGCTCAAATCTGTAAAATTGGAAAATGCAACTGAAGATACCTCAACGGTTACGGAGCATCTGTAATGAATCGGTGATTCTGTATGTCACTGTGTACACTTCGACGCTTTTAAATTAGTGAGATGCGTATTGACTACATTGCTTATTGTTCACAGTATCTGCAGCATCAGGATCTCCCAGGTAGTGTAGACATGGTAGTCAGCATTCTTACCATGGGTTACTGGCCAACCTACACTCCAATGGAGGTGCATCTGCCATCAGAGGTAACAACACCTTTCATAGTATACGATTTCACCTTCAATGTATGTTGGTCATCACGGTTGTTCATTTGTTATCCGCAAGTATGAGTCCAGAGAATATTTAATGACGTAAAGTCCTGTGAACATTCAATCAAAACTATGAAAGAATATGAGAGACAAATGATCTATCAGTTCCACATGTTCACCTGAAAAATGGGGTACCAGGTTGTTTATTTATTTAGTACAGCGTCCTTGCGATTTTCAGATCCGGTTCTCCAAAACCAATGACTTCCTACTGTTCCTATTCAAGGTCTCCATGCCAGTGAGAAACCCTGTTTAGAAAGTCGTTTTGTGAAATGTCATACCCTGTCCAAACTCAAGGGACCTCGAAAACCATTCTCTGTTCAGCAGAAAAGACTTCCATAGGTCTGTTGATACCCTCTTCACAGAGGGTATCAATAGGGTTAACCGTTAACAGTAAAACGGCTAAAAAAATTTAGCGTAAAAATTGACAAATCTTAAACCGCTAGTCGCAAAAATAGTTAACCGCCCAAAAAAAATCTGGTGAAATTAATGGATTAATGGATTAAATTAATTAATTTTTGGCCGTAAATTGGCCAAAATTTTAAACGTTAGCCGTAAAAGGTGTCACCTCACCTCACCGTCACGTCACCCTCTTTCCTTACTTAATTGATGATCAATTTTTTCATTCTCATGACCTTTACCTTGTTGATTCAGAGAGGATAATGTAAGGAGAAATTAGAAGCCAGTCACCCTTAAGGATTGATGAAAAGTTATCTTTGGGAGTCAATGTAGGAAATTAGACACACTTGTATTTTTGTACCATACCAACAATAAATTTACATTACGATAAAAACATTCAAATGATGTGCATATTCAAAAGCGCGTTACATTGCATTAAGGAGTATAATCTTGTAATGAACGCTTTCTTATGATGTGGATAGGATGCATAATAATTTTACATCGAACTTGATGATACTGAAATTATTGGTCGTTAAGAGTCTCTTGATTAACTTTTTGATGATGACTTCCAGATGGTTGAATACCAAGAGGCGTTTAAGAAGTTCTACATTGGAAAACATGGCGGAAGAAAACTTCAGTGGCAGAACACGTTAGGACATTGTGTTGTTAAGGCCGACTTTGGTCCTACGGCAGATGTGAGTTATTTCATTCCAATGGTTTCCCCCTAACTCGCCCTTCCAAGGGCTTCTGAAAGAGGAGCTCTTTCAGTTTTTTTCCCTATATTTTGGCTTAGACTATGTTGCCTTGAAGAGGAATGGATCACGGAATTTTAGGACGAGCTCCCTTTTCGATTCGTGCGTGCATGCGTGATATGCGCGTGTTTGAGTTTGGAGGGCGAAGGGACATTTTGTTTGCATCGCTTTACATAGGTGAATACATTATTCTAACCGTTATGAGGACAGTTCTATCAGCCTTAAGATGAATGTTGTTTCCTTTCCAACAGGAGAAGAAAGAACTTCAGGTGTCGTTGTTTCAAACTTTGGTGTTGTTGATGTTCAACACAGGAGAGACTTTTGGCTTTGACGAGATCAAGCAAGCCACAGGAATAGGTGAGACCCTAATGCAGAAAAATTGTAGAAACAATCAGAAACTGTTACGAAATTTCCATACGTTACCTCCCTAGAATTATTTATGATGACAGTTTGTCATTACAATCCCGATTTTCTATCTTGATACATGTTTGAAATTTCTCATTTTTAAAGGAACTGCAGATCATAGATTTGTTCTTCGCGGGAAAAGTTTCTAATCAGTTATTTTCTTTATGTGCTCTGCCCCTTCAACTCGCTTACCATCTTTCCTCCATGTTCGTTTCTTATTTTGTCTGTTTTTGATTTTACCCCAAACGAGAGCCTAGTAACACGCTTGTAAAATCATCCTCCGTAGGCGACAAGCCTAACTCCTCACACCCATTCCCCCACGTCTCTCTCTGCGTTTTGAAGAGGAAGTTTAGGATATGGTTGATTTATCAGAGTGAAGGATTTTCTGGGTGTTGTACAAGCATATAAGGCAAAAGCTCACAAAAATTTACACTAACTTTGTTTTAAGAGAATTGGCTTTCTTGTTTGTCTTTTGAGAGATCCTGTAAAGTTTCGTCTATAAGGGGAAAGCCAGGATACTTTCAGGGTTCTCTTCTACTAACCCCTCTCCTCTTCCCTTCTTTTGCCTTTTTTTAACAGAGGAAGGTGAACTAAGACGAACGCTACAATCCCTTGCTTGTGGTAAAGCGCGTGTTCTTGTCAAGAAACCCAAGGTACACTTGCACTTAGAGCATAATTTTAGAGCAAGTTTTGCTGAAGGGTCCAAAGGAGGCTGGGATTGCAATGCGTAATAACTCGGGATAAGCGGAGAAAACTTGCAAGTTGTGTAAATCACGCGCGTTGAGTCAGTGGTTTGCAAGGTTTTTTCTCGAGTTTTCCTAATATCACGAAAGGTTGTGAGTTTACCTCTTTACTCTTTTCACTCTAACATCAATATGCATATTCTCTATACTGCTCTCTATACGTTTCCTATGGTGCTGACAAGGAGAATTTGTTTAACAATCAAGAGCTTGTCTAGGTGGTGATCGTTTCCTTTATTCTCGTGACTGTGATCTTAGATTCAGGGGTGATATTGTAAGGAGAAATTAGATGCCAGTCACCCTTAGGGTTCAAAGAGTGAAGAGACTTGGTTGTTATGACAAAAGAACACTCTGCAACTTTTTAAAGGAGAAATTAGATGCAAGTCACTCTTAAGGGGTGGAAGGGTTTATCCTGCACACTGGGCGTTAAGAAAACTCCGAACTTTCCTGGTGACATCTTGAATTCGTTCTTCTTTATTTTGCTAGTGGTTCTTACTTCGTTTCTCTTTATTTTTAAGGGCCGTGATGTCGATGATGGCGATACGTTCTTCTTCAACAGCGAGTTCAAGCACAAACTTTGCCGAATCAAAATTAATCAAATACAACTCAAAGAGACGGTAAGACAGGCCGAGAGTTGCGCCTCTTCTTCCGCTCAGTCATTCGCGCGAGAGAAAAGAAACCAATGTCACGCTCCACGAAAGCTTCTTGAATTCGCGCGACGCCCTCTCATGTTATATTTAGTTACTCGTTTGATTATTTTTTGGTGGTATCTGTTTACTTTTACGACAGACTTTGGTTGGGAAGAGAGAATCACCTACCGAAAAGAGTAGCTTCTGTTGCGCAACAAACAAATTGAGCAGGACCAAAATTGTCACTCGAATTGGTGCTAACTCTTGTTTTTAGATGTGTCTGTCCACACTAATGTTCCTTTTCTTAAGTTCATGCCCTTGTGTTCGCGTTTGTTGTATCATTTGCGTTTCTCATTTCGTTCGTGTCCTCAGTTCGTGCCCTCATTTTGCTCGTGCCTGTTCTCTGATCTCATTACCAGAGAGAAGAAAAGAGAACTGAAAAGATTTCTGGGCAGACCAGCCTCCATGAGACCGCTGTTTAAAAAGGTTCCAAAATTTCAATTGCGGCTCTTTTCGTCCTTTTGATTCCGATGCGTCACACTGTCATAAATGAATTACAGAACTCGGTTCATTAGGGTAGGTACCGTGTTTTCTAACAGGAATTTTTTTTTTCTTTTTGGTTCTTTAGCAAGAGGAGAATATTAACACAACAGAGCGAGTGTTCCAGGATCGACAATACCAGGTGACCTGTAGATACTTTTTCTTAATTAATCTTGTTTTATAATGATAATATTAATAAGAATAATAATGGGTGAAGGGCTTGAACCTGGTTTCAATTGAAGTTCTTGTGGGTCCTGCATTGTATAGTCCACTTCCGGTTTAGCTACTGTATATAGAGGTATATACCACTCTGGCTGAGCCCATTCATGCTTCAGAATTGCACTATGAAAGGATTCAGTGGTTGAGTAAACGATTGTTCTTTGCCGTTGTAGATTGACGCAGCCATTGTCCGTATCATGAAAACTCGCAAGACCCTCAGTCACACGCTCCTGGTGACAGAATTATTTAACCAGCTTAAATTCCCTGTGAAGGTAAGGCTTTTCAGCTACTCACGTTACTCTAACAATCGAGCGGAGCCCTTCTCTAGGGATGCCCCTTATTAAAAGGGCGGGGCTACAACACCCTAAATTGCAAGGTGAGATAAATTATCCTCGAAAATTTGATCAATATGCTTTTTAGTGTCAACCCTGAAACGTGGCGTTATGCCGAATATATTATGACCAAAGTGTTTCATTTTGCTCAATTAAATAGTTCTTGGTTTTAAAGCTTGGTCAATGTGTAGAAAGGCACGGTTGCTGATTTTGCTGGTGACGAAAAAAAATAGGGTGGGGTATTTGAACACAATTTTGGCCCGAGGGGGGAGGGGAGGCAGGGCGGAAGTTTGAACAAACTTAAAAAGACGTTGAAGCTTTGAATTGATCGACGCATAATCCGCGAGAGGTTTAATAGGATTTCTCTGTGGTAATCAAGAGTTTATACAAGCGTGAATATGACGAATTTTTGAAGCCGTCTCTCGTTACCGTTACATGGTCTTCACTGAGAGAACGAGATTACAAAGTTATTATGGTCTATACGACTCGTGTGGAGCTTAAGTCGTTGGCACGCCTTCCCTTAGGTGGTAGACAGCTCTCCACTCCACATAGTAACACAAATTTTGTCATTTACCTTCTTTCATAAGTTACTTAGAATTCTACCCTTTCCTCGAATGATGTTGCTTGAAATTAGTGAGCATTTTGTAAACACTGGGCAAAATTGAAATGTGGGAGAAAAGGAGATATATGAAGGTTTTTACAGAAAACTTTATAAAAGTAATAGTACGTTCCGAGACTTTGGCCACTCATTGCAAAACAACAAATTTTTGGGTGATTCTAATCAAGCAAATGATTCAGAAATAAAAGATTAGAGCGGCAGATACAATTGCGGTCTCTTCTCTTTTCTGCCACTTTCCTTCCAAGCCCTCCAAAGGGTACGACAGCAGCTCTAGAAACGCCGCTAAAATCCTTAACTGTACCACTACATAAATGTACCTTCTTCCCAGTCTGCTTTTGTTGTTGTTATTGTTGTTGTTGTCAAACTCAGTTTCATTCCGGTTGTTTGTGATTCCTAGTTCCAACGACACAGTACTTGTTTTCCCAGTAATAAACAGGCATAGCCCAGTTTTTCATTCAACCCCTAAGTGTTCTGAGCACTCAGAACACTTGGGGCCTTTGGACTGGTTTTTACAACTTAACTGTCTTCTTTTATAGCCTACAGACCTTAAGAAACGCATTGAAAGTCTGATAGAACGTGACTATATGGAAAGGGATAAAGAGTTTCCTAACCAGTACCACTACGTTGCGTGACACAGCGAAACTACCTGTCGTGACACAAGAATTCTGCAGATACCTGTCGCACCTCTGGTTGTTCCTGGATTAGAAATCTGTTGTAATTAACTACAGAGCAGTCACGCTTTGCTTCGTGGAAACTTAATCCTGTGCCTGTAGCAGTTTCAAGCCTTTTCTTGTTTAATTGGCGTGGCATTCTTTCAGTACAAAGTTCTGATGAGGTGTTATATCAATGCGATTACTTTGTTCCTATGCAGTGAACTCTGAAAGCAATTTCCGCCTTCTTCACCCGGTACAAGCGGTATGAGTAAGGCGTATAAAGCTTTCTCGTCCACGCGCGTTTCCCGCGAGAGTTATGCGCCTGTCATGTGCGTCTTCCGCGCAACTGTCAGTTTTCTTCCCAGCAAATCGATTACTCCTGCAATATACAGTTTTCTCCAGTGAATGCAAGATAGCCACGGTAGGATAAAAACCCGGGGCAAATGGCAACGTATCGGTTGTGTATAGTTTCTTGACGCGTGACCATGCAAACTGGCCTGCTTCGTGGATGGCTCAGGTGTTGGAAATGAAAGTTACGCAACTTAGTCACGCAATGTAGTCCGTACTAGAACTCTCTCAGCCATCGAGTCTGTGTTCAAATGTTTTGTTGTACAGCGGAAGCATTGGAGTCACGCGAACGCACTGGTAACGAATGGTTCTGTCTACCCTGTATCAGTTAAGATTTCGCTTTTGTACAAAGGTATATAGAGTCTTAATGTTCTGAGGAAAAGAGATAATTTGTCATAGGGGCCTGTGTATTTTAGTCGCAATAGTGTATCTTTTGTGACCTTTTCGTCTTTTTTTTTTGCTTGGTCAACCTGATCTGAGTTTCAAATAAACTGTTAATAAAATACGTTTTAGCAATATACAGCTTTGTTGAGTCTGTTAGAAACTCCTTCGTCCTACATTGATGTTTCAGTGACAGTATCTGAGAAACTACGCATCTACCCCTCCCCTAACCCAATAACAGTCAAATGATAGAAAAGTCGAGTCGTTAATGAGGTGGGGAAAGGTGGGTGCTACAGACTGCCTTTTTATGCAAATCAGGTTATCGTGACCAGCGCCCCTACAGTATGATGCAGTGAAGTAAAAAAATAAATAAATAAATTTTTTAAAAAAATTAAAGTTTTGTGAAAGGGGTATTAAATAATTAGATCCAAGCAGAGTGAAAAGTTAAATACTTCGTTAAGCGACCTAAATCATATAAATGAAGAGGGAGTTGGCCGGTGTTTGTTTACAGTTGAGCATATAAGAACATAACAGCTAAGCCCATTAAACGTGTACTTTAGGTTGTTTACTAAGCAGATAAAGAAGTCTCTTGCTGTAGGTATCAGGGGAGCAGCGCTGAAAACCTTTTCTTGCTCGTAAGTTGAGCTGCTAAGGGTGTGTGTTTTTTGTCGCAAATATGTGTCCCCCAGAGAATGATCGTAGGACAAGAAAACTTGAATTTACAGTCGTGATTGGCAGATGGAAAATTCATCATGTCAGTCATGTGCTCATTTTTATCTTTCTCGATTTTTTAATTAGTACGTTTTCAAGCCGAACTGACACTAACGACTATTTCTTGAAAAGATTTCCTAGGCAGTCATAATAGAAAAATTTTGATTCGTTTTCCTGTGACAGCCTGACTTGCAAGCGTTTGATAGATGAGACAAGTCTACTCAAACACACACAGACAAATTTGGTGATGTTTACGTAGTTTCATGCTTTTTATGCTAAACGATGGAGATGGCTCTGTTCACGTGAAAAGACGACATTGATGTTGTTTGGGTCTGGTCTTTCATATCAGTGGAGTAAGAAACCGAACCCTGGCTGTGAAACAGTTTCAGGGGCAAATCTCGCTTGGAGTGAGGTAGTGTTCACAGTATGAGACATAACAGTCTGAACTCTCGCGTGCGAAACCGCTCTACAACGCTGGTTTTCACAGAGGTGGGTAATCTACTTAAAGACAAGCCTCGCATGTAAGACATGTAAACGCCCAGACATCTCAAGACTTTTCAATTTAAAGAAAACAATCGACTTGAAGGATGAAATGAGTAATTATTTCCGGTTTGACAAGGATCGCGTGAATGAGTGAAAGCTCGTTTTTGACGGCCAAACGTGTAAATTACTAAGCGTCTAATTTGTTGGCGGCCTCACCGAGAAAAAAAAAAAGAAAAATGTTGTAGTTTTTCAAGGACTCTACGAAAATACGTAAATTCTCCAAATTACTAGGTAACAATCCGAGAGTAAGTGTACATTTGCATATAAGTGCTAGACAAATATTTCTCTTTGCCAGTTCTTACGCTAATACCCTCAACAAGAGTCATAGGGGCTGCGTACTTCACCTGGTGAGGAGAAAGTGTCCGCTTATGTGGTATTGCAGTTCGATTTCATTTCTAAAACTTCTTTAAAATAATTATTTCGGTAAAACTGTAATCAAAATTTACTAAATTTCGGAATAAATGAATGGTTCTGCCGAGTCAAACACAACCTTTGGAATTCTGGGCTAGTTTTTTCTCTGCATTATTTTCCCACTTTCCCCACTCCTTAAATCTTCGTACCTGTCCCTCCCAGGGGCGCGAAGTCGAAAAAGAGTTCGCAAAAGCGTAATAAATCTGAAAAAAAAGGCTATGAGATGAAATTTATTTGATTTCTATTCCTTCTTGTAACATGTTTGTCAATCTTTTTTATTTTTCGGGAGATTTGACGAGCTTTGTGGGAGCCAAGCAGATTTGTTTCTTCATCCGGCAGACTCCCTGTTAATCCGAGATGGCAGACCAGAGTGACCGGCCCCACCCAGAAAGTCACTCCTCTTCCGAACTGACGATCACATCGAAGTCTTCAAATCATAATAAAAGTGTGGCATTGTCGTTGATGTAAAACCTTGGGTTCCTGTAAAAGAAAAATTATTTTAGTTATTGGAAGGGTGTCTCATTACAACTGTGATGGAATCCTATCGGCATGTCGCGAATTCACTAAGCTATATCTGTAAAACATTATCTGAGATCATTTCAAGTCTGCCGATTAGCTTAATGGTTTTGTCTCAGAGATTGCAGTCGCTTCTATGGTCAATTCTAATTCTGTAGGGTCATACATTTGTGTCCTGAAAAAATAATATTATCGCCCTTCAAGGTTATTTTGGCAATCATCACGGATAGTGAGGTCAAATCTGAAGGTTTCTTGTTACACTCAACACGTAGGCGTCATAGAGTCAGACGCTTGAGGGGAAAAAATTAATCAGCTTACATCGTAACTTAGAGCGGCGTTGAGTCATTCAATCGCGGTGGCACCTTGTCTGATCTCTTGCCTGTTTTCCTTACGATGTTTTCAGTTCTGTGTTTGGTTGCTTTCACGCAACTCTCGCTTGTTGAAGCCAACAGCGAAGTGGAAGACTTTCTGAAGCATTTTAACCAGCGCGCACCCATAGAAGCAAGTAAAAGGGAGATAGCAGATTGGAAGTATTCAACAGATGTCTCGTCAAAAGAAGCAGCATCCGAAAAGAAAGTAGCGACTTTGGCTTTTCAAACTTTCCTCGAAAAAGCGCGGAAGAATGCGTCGCGATTCAGCAATCTTGAGGGTTTACCAGAGACACTTCAACGACAACTGAAGTTGCTTCGCACATCTGCGACTCTGAAAGATAAACAGCAGCGGGAAGAACTCGCAAATATTGAGATTGAAATGCAGAATATTTATAGTTCATCTCAGGTTTTCGACGCAGAGACAGGGAAAAACTTGTCTTTGTCACCGAATCTAACAGAAATAATGGCTTCGTCACAGAGACACGATCGCTTGAAGTTCGCGTGGCAGGAATGGCGTGACGTTGTTGGCCCAAAAATTCGTCCCCTTTATGAACGATACGTGAACTTGTCAAACCAAGGCGCCCGCGACAACGGTTTTCGCGACTACGGCGAATATTGGCGATCCTTCTACGAGGTTGATAATTTGCCCGAGATCGTAGAAAACCTCTGGAAAGATCTTGAGCCGTTTTACAAAGAATTACATGCGTATGTGAGGGTTCAGCTTATGAAGCAATACCCTCTCGTAAAAGAGAAAGATGCCATCCCAGCTCATTTGTTGGGCAATATGTGGGCACAATCCTGGACGAATATTTATCCGCTAGTCGAACCGATCAAGGACAAATCAAGCCTTGATGTTACTAAGCAGATGAATGATGATAATTTTACAGTAGATCGTATGTTTGAGATCACCGAATCATTTTTCTTGTCGCTCGGAATGGAGAAACTCCCAAATAATTTTGTGCAAAGATCGATGACCAAGAAACCCGAAGGACGCGATGTTGTTTGTCATGCATCTGCCTGGGATTTTTATGTGGAAACCAAAGATGGAGAAAAGGATGTAAGGTAAGGCAAAACTATATTGTGAAACGTTAGGAAGTTAGATTTGTAAAGGTTATGGTTGCGTGACAGTCACGCAATAGCGAGTTTTTCCTTTAAGAAAAATATAACCCAAGACCAGCTTTAATTTGACGTCGATTACGACCCATTCATAAAAGTTTGTAATATAATTTATTCCACTTCCACCGTCAAACCAAGAAATTTTAATGATCAACTAATCTCTTCTTTTTTTGTACTTTCTCAACTGATAGACCTTCTCTTACGAAAGTAATTAACTTTCTCGAAACTTGCAGTAAAGCCGGAAAAATTTCACAGCTTTTAAAAAGTGCAATTTCCTGTAATACCGAAATTCGAGATAAGTAGGGTTTCCAAACTTCAAACAGCGCGCATTTTTTGCGAATTTCCACGATGGTTGACAAAATATTTGTTCGCGCCTTTTTAGTCAGAGAAGGTCAAAGCCCTTAAAACTCATGCAGCCTTCAACCTCTTTCCCGTACAATCCCACCGTAGCGGATGTATTAATCTCGAGATTAGGAAATAACTTCCCGTCATTTAGATAGCTTTGCTTCATTCTGATTAAAATTAAAGCAAGTGTGTTCCAAGGGCTGTTCACTTAGATAAGATGATCACGAATCTGTTGTATCTTGACACAAATCGAGCGACCAGCGGAGTGTTGGTAATCTCTGACTGAAAACGGAAATTTCACGCAAGGATGTAATCAAACATCCTCTTTAAGTGATAATAATAACCACTAGGTAGTTCTGCGATTCCAGATTAATGAAGCAAGATCATTTGTTGCATCAATTCGTTCCAGTATTTCATCAATTTTCTCAAATGGTAAAGCTTATCTGATACTTACAGAAATAACTCGAGCTATTTTAAGATCATTCGCGATTTATGATTCAAAAACATTTCCCGTAGTTTGTTTTCGCCTTTTGAAGTAAGCGGTATTCATTGTTGACGCGTTATCTATCTGGGAAAGGCGGCATTCCAAACATATCTGTGGTGTTTGTCACTATCATTTTGTTTTCTTTTTCGAGAGTATTTTTGACGTGCGGGCAGGCTTTTATTATTAGCGAAGCATGACACGCGTTTTCGAAATTCCGCCCGCGGGAAGATTTGAAAACGAGTCGGGGAGAGTTTGCCGGAGATATAGCAGACTAGCTAGGCCTCTTACAGACCTCTCGCCGACTTGCGTTGCCTAATAACCCCTCATAGTTTTCCACGGGCGAAGAAACAGTCGTGTCGAAGCACTAACTAATTTTAAATGTCTACTCGTCTTACCTTCCAACTGGTATCTTAGGGCTTACCCCCCCCTGTCGATCAGCTCACATGACCCATCGTCCGCACGTAGCACGTGGGCAATTCGATCCTAACCACTTGAAAAGTTCGAAGTTCTCTAAATGGATGTAAACAATAGTAATCATGTTATGTACTTTTTTGGTTTGAAATTGATATGAGAAACGTGAAATTAGTAATAGGGGCCTTCCCAGAATGGTCTTAGACAGGAAACTGGGGGCACGCTAGGAATTAGTCTTACAAATAAATGACTTTTCCTTGGCAGAGAAAAGTGGGTAAGTCCTTAAGCTCTGTAACTCTGCTAGGAAGCAGGGAAATCTGGCAACCTGTCAGAAAATTCTTCTCTCCGCAGACCTTTCATGATCCCTGACCTGAGAGTGAGTAATAGTCATCCCCGTGATTTAGCTTTCTTTTGTTATGTCTGGTTTAAAGATCTTTTCGTTTTGTGTGCAAACCCGCCAGTCTCGTTTATTTGGAACTCGATTAGAATGCCACCGACCGGCGTCAACTTTTTTTCTCTCTTTCTTTTCCTTCTTTTCTTTTTTTCTTTTTCTTTCGCCTCATGTTTCTTAGTTCGTTTGTTTGCCCACCTATTACTCAATTTGCTTAAGTTTTCTTTTTCAGAATAAAACAGTGCACTGAGGTAACGCAAGGCTGGCTTGTCACGACACATCATGAGATGGGTCACATTTACTATTTCTTGTCCTACTGGGATCAACCCTACATCTTCCGTGACAGTGCAAACCCAGGATTTCACGAAGCTGTTGGTGATACCATGTCTCTCTCAGTTTCTACTCCACAGCATCTTGTTAAGATTGGATTGTTAAAGGAATATACTCATGACGAAGGTGAGCAGAAAGAAATACTAGGACCACAGGTGTACCGAGCTTGACGCGCGAGTTAACCTTTTGCCTTTTGCACCTTAACATCAGTATGCATATTCTCCATACCTCTCTTTAAGCATTACATAAGGTGGTAACAAAGAGAATTTGTTAGACAATCAGGAGCTTCTTTACCTGGTGACTTATGACTTTAATGTGTGATTCAGGGGCGTTGTTGTAAGGAGGAATTAGTCGCTGATCATTGTTAGGAGTTAAAGGGTTGAAATGACTCACATTTCTATTACGCAGCAGTAGACATGAAATGATTTGCATGAGAGAAACTTGTTGCATTCGGAAACCGAAAAAATTTTCGGTATTAACCGGGAAAAGAAAAGACAGAAGTGTAAAAACTTATTGGACTTCAATCGTGCGTTTCCTTGTCTCGAATGTTTTGTTTGAGTCCATTTGAAACTGTGCAGATGTTACTTTGTCTTTTACTTTTCGTTTTTGTTTTTGTTTTTGTTTTATTTTTAAGTATCCAAGCCCAGGAGCCCGGGGTGATGGGCTCCTGCCACGCCTTGTTTTTATATCCCTCAACTCCCTGAACTAATTAACATGTAACTTCCATTTGTAATCTTGGTATAACACCAAATTCTCTTATCTTATTTACAAGGAAATGTGTAGCAGCTGGAGGGGAGAATTAACAATCTAATCTTTGGAATTTAACTACAAAATCCACCGAAAACGCTTTGATTTGATCGAGAACCACACCTAAGTCAAGGAAACGACGACTTAAGCAAATTTTTTTCCTTTCATTTAAATCTGGAATATATCTCTTTTATTTGCAACAGTTTTCTCATTCAAATCCAAATGCATGGCAACGTCTTGGGCTACCTGTGCTGTTACCACTATCTGTCACGCAGCATTGCCTTCTTTCCAACTTAGGCCGAAAGAGCATCTTTGCGTGACAGAAGAAATAACAAGGAAAACCTATGGTCGTCATGGTGTTAATGTAGTGTTCATCACCATTGCGGGCTCAGCCGGCATGTAAAGGGAACAGAGACGAAATATTTACCTTGAGCGCGATTTCATTTATTTATTTATTTATTTTAACATGTTTTTGCAGAAGCTGACATAAACAATCTAATGAAGGCGGCACTCAGCAGTATTGTTTTCTTGCCGTTTGGATATTTAATCGACCAATGGCGATGGAAAGTTTTCGCGGGAAAAATCCAACCGAGCGAATATAACACTGAATGGTGGAAACTGAGAACTAGGTACCAGGGCATCAAACCGCCTATTGAGAGAACAGAAAAGGATTTTGACCCTGGAGCTAAGTATCACGTACCAAACGACGTGCCATACATACGGTGTGTAACCGTTTTACATTATCTGACTCATAATGTAACGTTCAACGCCCTTAGATTGTCTCGCAGGCTCAATCCTCTCGCTATGGCATTCAGTAGGTCTGCATGTCGTGTTAATATATAGCGTTTTCAGATGTTTATGTCTCTGAGTAGCACTGCTACTATATAACTCAAACATTCAGGAAAAGCAAAAATTGTTCGGGATACTTGGGATTCGAGTGAGCTTATACTTAATGACTAGGAAAAATGCTTTATTTTTGAGCGCGAGTTGCTTGGGTTTTTCTCACTTTCAGTACTTACTTTAGCTTGAGAAGTAGGCCTTTCCCTTCCTTTGTATCTAAGGGGCCAGTCATTATTTATTAAGGGAGGGGGGACGGAGGAGTTTTGTTGTTTCACTTTAAAATTACCTGATCCCCCTTTAGATTTTGCGTATTAAATGATTCCCCCTCACTGGCAGTCTATTTTCTAGACTCCCTCCCCCTCTTTGATTGTCCGTCCATCTTCTCCCCCCTCCCTCCCCTGGCGATAAAAAATGACCGATACCTAAGCAAGAGGCGCGCTAGAGGTTCGATTTCGCTTGTTTTCCTCGCGTGTGTCCCACCTAACGCACGCTTATCCTGAAAAAGAACCCGGAAATGGCTGGTAACCCAGCCGGACTTTTCATTAAAATATAAGGTGGGGGTGTTGTCGCAAAGTTCCACTGAAGTCGAAGGCTTTTTGGCCTATTTTTCCATCAGGTACTTCATCAGCAGCGTGTTGCAGTTTCAATTCCACAAAGCGGCTTGTAAGTTAGCAGGCGTCGAGGGGCCTCTTCACCAGTGCTCCATTTACCAGTCTAAGGAAGCGGGCAAAAAGATCAGGTAAGGACTGGAGCTGAAAGGAACAAAGAAACTTTTATGTTATCTCTAAAAGTTTTCGTTGTTCTTCTCATAGCGAGATGCTACAACTAGGAAAGAGCAGGCCCTGGCCCGAGGCCTTAGAAAGGCTCACTGATAAGAGGACTATGGATGTGAGACCCATGAAAGAGTACTTCTGGCCCTTGTATTTGTGGCTTAGAAAACAAAGATGCTCCAGAAAGTATGCCATTGGTTGGCCTGAAAATCCGGGACCTGAGGATGACCCATGCGTGGTTCCAACGACTTTGCCAGACACGGACACTCGACCGGTAACCACAGTAAGACCGCATGCGCATGCGTGGTCTTTGAACTCCGCTGGCACATTGATAATGACTATCGCTTCACTTTTCGTCAGTTTGAACGTAATTAATATATAATATATATTTTTTCCTATACCCGACGAGACAATTTATAAGATGTGCATATAGTTACACCTGAATGGTCAGATATGATATTTTTCCTCGTTAAATTTTGGCAAGAATAACAACTCGTTTCAATCATGCCTTTTTGGTGAGTGTGTTTTGGTTAATCGATTTTAAACATGACTGCAAAGCCCTAAGCCGTTGGATATTCTTTCCTACCGACTACTGTGCAATATCAATTCTATCACCACGGCAAAACCGACCAATCGGTTTTTCAAAACAACCTCCCATTCTGACTTCCGGTTAGCTTTTCAAGATATATTTACAGTCTCTGACATCAGTCCTGCGAAAAGGTTCGATCGTACAGCGGTCCTCAGAGGATTTTGTAAGTCCTCTGCAATTATCTAATGTTCTCTGCTCTCAATTTAACTGAAGTGATATTTTCGAAAGCACCATCGTCACTTTTGTCTTGCCACACCTCTGATCATCATCATCGTAAGAAAAGAATAGCGGAGGCGACTTTCAGGGGGACAAGCTATATTGATGCGACAACTTCCTGCACACACATCCGATGAGAGGCAAATCTTAAATTAGAAATCCCTCCACGAAGGCGTCAAGAAAATACTCTCCACAGAAGAGTAAAAAAACTAGTAAAGTACGACGGTAATTCCAAAAAACTGGGAGCCAAGAAGGTCTTGCACCCTTACAGACTGTTGACACTCGGAGCCTCTTGTATAAATCGAAGGAAAATGTAAGTTCACTCACTTTAAAATTGTTTTTGTTGGTGTTGCGGTCATGACAGCATGAACTACATTACACTTGGCCATTAGGGAAGTGACAGACATGGCTCTAAATTCAGGGATCACTTCTATGATAAGTTTAACTGGTGGGTATGATCCACTGATCACAGGGAAAACTTTTACGGAGCAAATAGGAGACATGGGAGTCGTGAACCGCTTCTAGTGCAGTGTTACGTAAAATTATTTCAGACCTATAAACAACTTACCACCGAAACATCGGAAGTTGTTTGAAAACAGGTGGCGTGCCTGGCAGGTGCTCGGAGAGCGAGCGAATAGACACGCGACAGCTCGCACGCGAAAGCTTGTACGCGAGAGCTCGCTCGCGAGACTTTTCGCCTTTGGGAAAGTTTCGTTTAATCTATGGAGCCGAAGCTACACTTTAAATCTAAATCCCTAACGTAGATGTGCGGCGTTGACTAAAAAAAAGGTTTCAGTTCTTGATATTTTTAATTTTTTGAATTTCCAAACTCTCAATATCTCAAGTTGCTAGCTGTCAAAGATTTCGGGAAACGCGTTAGAGGTATTTCTAACACTCCTTGTTCCCTTAATACTCTCCGTCTACATTTCCTTTCTTAAGTTCTTAATACAACATGCTAGCTAAGGGTCTAACGCAACTCTCCAGGAAAGCGTCGGTTTCCAGCCCATGAAGGTGACAGTTAGCAAGCTGTCAACACCCGACCAACGTCACGATCTCCCACTTAGCCACTGAATCATGCCGAGCTACGCGAAACAATTCCCGCACACCAAGCATGTACCCCCGGCTTGTTGATTTATTCCAAAACGACTCTCTACTCAAAACTCCACACCCCTGCGGACAAGATCGGCCAAAACAAAATGAAGACCGACAGCACAAAAATTACAAAGAAACCGTTGCGTAAATCAGAACCATACTCAAAAAGATAACTTAAGCGAAAACAGCCCCCAAAGTCTGCTACATAACAACAGAATAAACACAGAATTCAAGGCACGGCCCCCAAAAGAACTACCCGCCGCTCATATAGGTCAATCGACCACAAACCCAGCGCGGAAGACGAAAAGTACAAGCCGCTTACACCCCACAGAAAGAGGCGTTGAACGTGCCAAACTAAAAATCAAGATTTATCTTTTTGATCGTGAGCTAGGCATGAAATTGATATAAAAACGAACCTGGAAAGAATCCGAAGTATATGAAGAAGGAATTTCCAGGAATTCCTTTACGAGATTAACTTTTACCAGATCAAATTACTTGTATTCATCAAGCAGATTATCATAATAGAAATATATCTTACCGCAAGATAATTGAAATACTTCGCAGCAAGTTTTAATCACCGTAGAAACTGAACATCTGCTTTCATGTGGAACTCGCGATAGGATAATATGCCATAATTACTGTGGAGTTAAATGGGCTGTATTTTCTCTTAGAAAGAAACGATAACAATCACTCTAATTACAAAATACGACCGCCATCGAAATAGGAAATTATCAACTGCTTACAATATTTTTTAACTGAATAGCTTATGCAAATATGTTATTTGCATTCATATTCCCAACGCAAAGGTAAGAAAGCCCTTATAAATTTTCTAGATAAGGATATGTTTAAATTTTATCGTAAACAAACTGCCCCGAAGTAAACAGAGTGTCCAGCTAACCAGATAGCAAGAGAAGATCATTTCGATTCAATCCATTTAAAAACGACAGTTATACGAAATTTCGCGCTATGTCAAGGACATTTTCTGCTCCTTGCGTGATCAACTGTCTCGTCTCAGTGAGGAACGTAGACTGGTCCAGAGGGAGAAGCGAAATCGGACTTAAGGAAAATAATTTAACGTTTCGTGAGCGGACTTATCAATGAAATATGGGCTAAAACTCGATGGTCGGTCTGTCGGCTTTCCGAGTTACGGATGACTCGTAAGTTTCGATTTCTTAGAAACTGAAATCCCCTGCTTCATTTAGTCAATGCAAGATTCGTTAACTTATTTGTTTTGTAACAAATTTGTTAACTGCTGCAGGTACCTTTTTCACTTCAGCTGAGTATTTTGTAAACTGTACACGGTTCGATTTCTCTACTATAAGGAAAAGAAGTCCGAGGTGGCGTTGTATCGGTCTATATTGAAAGATTTTTCCCTCGAATCTTGGTTCAAGCGAGAGACAGATCAACGACCCTTCAGAGATCTATTGCAGAAGCACTGAACTCTCTTTCTAAAGGTATTGCAATTTATAATTTCTGTATTTCGAGAGAGGATTAGAAATTGAGGTCAACTTGCGTTCAAGTCTGAAAGTTCTTTAGTTTGCCTTTATATTCAGTAGATCGAAACCGTGATTCGTATAATTCAGTTTATAGAGTCGCAGTCGCTTTGAGATAGCACTCGCTTACCTCACCTAAACGAGCCGCCGTGAACCGCTAAACAGAGTACATTTCATTGTCGGGGTCTTGATTAGCATGTATATAAGAGGCCGTGTTTCCAGAGGAGAGGGAGCCTCGAACCTTCGACCAGCGACTTTCATTATACAGCATGTTTTTTTTGTTTTCTTTTTTTTCTTATTATTGCCCTGTTTCATCGTCTTACTAGATGAATTATATGAGAATCTGCTAAAAAAATGATACTGGTTAAGCTTAGGAAAAGGAAAGAAATCAAATTTTGGCGAAGATTTTGCTTGAATGTTCCTTGAGTTTTTTTATTCACAACCATTGTTCAGGAAATGAGTGTGCGCTCCTCCTCTGAACCAAGAAATTTGAGGGAGGATCGCAGACCAGGTTTGATAGCACGGCAGAAATCGAGCCTATGAAGTGTCAAGCGCCAGAGCCGTTTCATTAGGGCGGGTGGCTAAGCCACAAGAGGCTTTGGGCGATAAAAAAAATGATATAAACACACTGTTTCGAGGGTTTGGTTTTGTTGTTTTGTTTTGGTAGTTTAGCGACGAAGAGCGTGCGGCAAACGCGCGAGGACAAGTGCAAAGCGGAAGAATAAAAGCTCTTTCTCCGACCATACCCCAGCCCCCCTCCGTTCTCCTCGCAACCCACAACCCCCCTTCCCCTTTTTTTAGGGTTTGAGGAGTGTAAACAAGCTACCGGCTCCGATGACGTTTGTTTTGCTTGTGTATGTTACTAATATAATCATTGTTCTTTTCTCAAAAGTGACAGCGGTAAACGTAATTTGACGCGCTCGTACGGCGCGCGACATCTCTAACCAAGGACAGTACACAACGGAAAAACGCCCACTTCTTTGTTGGAACCGAAGCTTGCGGCGAAGCTTGCATTCCGTCCTCACAATGAAACTCCATATATTTCATTTCTTTGCTGTTTTTGTCGCGCTAGCGCCGTTTCCAACCTTCAGTGAAGTTGATCAGGCGGCGGAACTGGCAGCGAAGGACTTCCTCAAAAATTACAACGATATTGTACCCAAAGAGGATTACAAAACGTCTGTCGCATCATGGAACTACGCTACAAACCTGACTGACCACAACAAAGCGATGAAAACGAACATAAGTTTGGTATTCTCCGCTTTCTACAAACAAATGCGTGAGAATGCGACCAATTTCGATACCTCAAAGCTCTCAGCAGACACCGCGCGTCAGATCAAGTTCATTACTTCAACCGCAACTCCGAAGGATGCCGAAACGCTGAGGAAGCTAACAGAGTTAGAGTCGGAAATGGAAGAGATATACAGCACGGGAAAAGTGGATGACAAAGGAAAAAAACTTTCTCTGAACCCCGACCTTTACAAGATTTTGTCTACGGAGCGTAATTACGATCGGCTACTGTTCGCTTGGAAAGGTTGGCGGGATGCAGTTGGCCCGAAGCTCCGAAATAAATACACTGAATTTGTGAGGCTGAAGAATCAAGGTGCTACGGAAAACGGTTGGAAAGACATTGGTGAATATTGGCGGTCTTGGTACGAAGTTGAAGACCTGGAAGGAATGGTGGAGGGATTTTGGAACAAACTGAGGCCCCTCTACCAAGAATTGCACGCCTATGTGCGTTACAAGTTGAGCAAAAAATATCGGCAAATGTCTACAGATGGGCCCATTCCGGCACATCTGCTTGGCAACATGTGGGCGCAGTCATGGGTGAATATCTACGATCTGGTTGAACCCTACAAAGGGAAGCCGAGTTTAGATGTGACAGCGAATATGAAGAAGCAAAATTATAATGCTGATAAGATGTTCAGACTGGCGGAGTCCTTCTTCACGTCGATTGGACTTGAACCGCTCCCCAGCTCTTTCTACAACAACTCCATGATAACCAAACCCGAAGGCCGTGAAGTTATCTGTCACGCGTCAGCGTGGGATTTCGGCATCAATAAAGATGTCAGGTAAGACATTATTTTTCAACGTGGTGAAAAAGTACTCATCTTAGACAGCATGATCTCACCTCGAAGCCTTATAAAAACGAAAAAAAAGAAACGGTTTATTTTGGCCGGTATTTATTCTGTTTACATAATTTACTATCTCCGGACGACGCCGCTGTGAAGTGAACTGTTTTTGTTCATTTAGTCTGACTGCAGTTTGAAGGATGTATTTGATTTTAAAATTTTCGTGGCAACATCAAACTGTGAATGCCTTCTTGAGGCAGAGGAATAAAAAATGTGGAACAAAATTTCCTAAAAAGAAGGCCCTCTCTTCTAAATTTTTAGTCACGATCGACAGGCAAAACTGCGACACAGGACTCTTTTCGATTATGAAATGCAATTAGGAAACTTTTTTTTTCAACTTGCCAAAAGATAAACACCATGTCTTGTAATAGACAATTGTGCTATTGGTTTAATTCTACTCGTCCGACAATTACATTAGTGCTACCTCATATTTATACAACCTTTGATCTCTTGTCAATTAACTTAACTGATATTTCCAGTCGTAAGTAAACTGCTTTTTTTGCTTAATTACTGAGTGGTAGGGCCGGACGGGAAATATTTGGCTCAAGCTCAAGGTGTGCGGACAGAGCGCAGCATTTTATCACATGACTACTAAGTGTTTAAAATTTCGACTGTATTCTTTCGCTTGACAATTCAGTTCGTCACAGCTACCCCAGGCAGACTGCTAGAGGGGTTTGAATTTGTCACCTTTTTTCAAAATGCGAATCTTTTAAGGAAGGTCTTCACCGATGTTACGTAACATGTTTGTGTTGACGCTCGTCATGCAATAAGAGGAAAACCACATCCGCAAGAATTAATACTTGGAGAACGTATCTTTTACGAATAGAATACAATCCGTGAAGTTTAATGAAGTGTAATGCCCGAGAGATCTCCTTTGCATCCTTAGTAGACTTCTTTTGAATGTCACGCAACGGGGCGCTACTAAAAATTAACGTGACATCTCATTAAAGACATCTTTTCAGTCTTAAAATAAACTTTTTTCGCCTGAAAACATGTACAGTCGGTAGGAATTCAGGAAAGTGGGGGCTGTCACAACTTATACGGACTACCTTCCGATAGAATTTTTCCAAAACTTAATTTCGTGGATTTCGCGAAATTACTAAATTAGACCCGAACACTGAGACTTTAAGCGTCGTGAACACAACATGTGTTGCGTTTTCTTTCATTCATAGAGTCAAGCAATGCACTACTGTTACACACAATTACTTGGTAACCACGCACCACGAGCTAGGGCACATCCAGTATTACTTGCAGTACTGGGACCAACCTAACGTCTATCGCACTGGAGCCAACCCTGGTTTCCATGAGGCAGTTGGAGACACCATGTCCTTGTCGGTTGATACGCCACAGCACTTGCAGAAAATTGGTTTGCTGAAGGAGGTCAGCAATGATACTGGTAAGATGGTAATCCTTGTTTGAAAGAAACAGTCGACTCCAATTTCTCGCCGTTAACGAACCACGCATGAATAAAAAACGACTCATCATGAATTTTCGTGATACAATTACAGCAGTTTTAGCATCTGTAGTTCAAGCAGGTACTTTTACGATCTTAGCACCAGCTCGAATCGAAATCGTTTTACTCAGCATTTTCTCCCGAAAATGTCAGTTATTTTAACCTCGGTTACTAGAACATCACGTGAAATCGATTTCAATTCGAGTCTTTCATACTATTACTGTAATTTAAACTTCGGTTACTGGAACCTTCGATAACTATAACTTCGAGTTCTATTAGCTTCAAGTATTTCTGTTTCCGCCAGGTCACTACTTATGCAAATTTTACCTTTGATAACTCGAGCCTTCCTCACTAGTACGTGATAAGTAAGAATTTTATCACAATTGGCAGTGATGTCGCAATCTGATTGGCCAATTTGCCGATGTCAATAAGTGTACAAACAATGCTGCTTGCGTCAACGTGTCACGCAATTGGCCACGCCCACTTGCAGTGCTCTAGGCCTCATACTTACCTGCGGGTGAAAGAACGCTGTCTATATAGCTTGCCGGCTAAATATACAGTTGTGAACAAAAATTAATTCAAGCACAAGCTTTATTTCTTTTAACCTCATTTTGCAGAATCCGACATAAACGCCTTGATGAAGATGGCCCTGCGTAAGGTGGCTTTCCTTCCTTTCGGATTCTTGATCGACCAATGGAGATGGAAAGTTTTCAGCGGTAAGATCACTGAGGAGAATTACAATACCGCGTGGTGGGAACTGAGGACTAAGTACCAGGGAATAGAACCTGCTGTGGAAAGGACAGAAAATGACTTTGATCCCGGATGCAAATATCACATTCCAGCTAATACACCATACATCAGGTGGGTATTGTAGCCAGTGGGAGAGAAGTTTATTCTGATCCCTTTCACAGTCGACTGGCGGGGGAAGGGAGGGGAGACCGGAAGGGGGTTGGGGTTAGGAAGCCAATCTCCACCAGACAAGTTGTAATAACAAATGCAAACATCTTTGCATGCATATTTTCCGAAGCCAGTTGTTTGAAAAACGTTAAATAACATCTAAGTATAAACCACACCTGTAAATTGTGCTTTTCGCGCGCGCGCTTATTGGTTAGTTTGGAAGTGAATAATAATTACTATTCACCTGCGAGTTGCTGAGAAAAAAAAACCGCGCTTCAAGAGTTAAATTTCTGAGCATTTTTCGATATATTGAAAAAAATAAACTAATTTTTTTGTATATGTGTGGTGTATGCTAAAACAATTATTCACCTGATTGTCGTTGGAAGGTGAATACGGCGGCGCCGTAAATATCCACCACTTTTCACCTTCACTTCGGTGAATAATAGTTGATTATTTCGCCATGCACGATCCTTTGCCTTAAATTGCCCCATCGAAACGTGAGGGGAGGAACGAAGGGCTAAAGCCTCTCTTCTCAGGGCGGCTTTTGTTATTCGAACCCCCTGGCGTCATTTATTTGTTGTAATTTTCACCGCGGAACTCAAACCTTTAATAACTCGAACTCTCGATAATCCGAAGGAATTCTCGTTTCCCCTCAGGTTGATAAGTTTTTCAAAAGGGTTGCTCTTCATAGCTCGAAACATGTCATCAGCGGTGACTTGTTTGTCGTACATTGTTTGTTGCGCGATGGAAATTTTGAATTCATAATCTGCATGGTTTTTCATTGGACAAATAACAGTTTGTGAGAATAGAAAAACGACAACGAGGAATGGATGAACTAAAGGGAAACAGGGATGACTGAGAATAAATTGTTTCCTTTTCCAGGCGTTCAATTGGTGAAATGTAGCGTGATAGTAAATGGTGCTGAAGAAGCAGCGGACTGTGAAAAGGAGAGAGGCATGGGTCGGGTCTCATATTGATCTCCCGCGTTAAGTTATCGCGCTTCGTTTTTCAAGCTAAACGTCGGGAAGACGGCTTGTCCAAGAAACCTTGTGTTGGGTAGAATATTTCTCCGATGAATGTGTCACTGACCAAATTTAATTATTTTTATTTTTATTGCTCAGGTACTTTATGAGCTACGTGCTACAATTCCAGTTCCACAAGGCCGCCTGTGAGGCAGCCGGACATACGGGACCTTTGCATACCTGCTCCATCTACGAGTCTAAAGAAGCGGGAAAGAAGATCGGGTAAATATTGACAAAGATGTGGTACTTTTTGCTGATATGCTTGTTCCTTCAGCTATTGCTGAACCACTGTTGTACTGATAAGTATGAAAATATTTTAATCTCTTGTGAATGTGATATTTATTTTTCTAATAAATGACCAAACCTTGCCTTGTCCGGAGAACGTGAACGACGACGGCTTATTTTTTAAATTTCTATTACTAATTAAACGCTGTGTTCCATATTCAGTTCTGAGGTAGTTTAGACAGCGAGAAACAAACTAAATGACTCTAGAGTATCACGTGATTCGTTGGTAAAATCTAAGTTCATTTTTTTAACCGACGTTTTCCTCGGCGTCACCGTCGTCGTTTCATTCATTTATCAACAAACTATTCACTGGATTATTTTTTACACCTATTAAAGCTCTAAATCGTTTTTAATAATTCAAATTAGCATAGAAGAGGCCAGAAAAAGCAAAACTCGACAATGATTGGATATCGGGAGACTCTGATTCCCATTTTGTTCAAAAGTGTAGTCAGGATCAGTTCAAGGAAATAAACCGCCTTGCTATGTTATTTGTCCCCCAAAAATTATTGCTTTGATATGTCATTGTTTTTGTTGTTATTATTATTATTGTTATTATTATTGTTATTATTACCATTATTAAAATTATAAATCTCAATTTCATAGCCCGCACATGAAGAAAGCAATTAACGTTTTGTATTGAATGGCGTTTCTCTCCTTCAATCTATAGGGATATGCTGAAGATGGGAAAAAGCAAGCCTTGGCCGGAAGCTCTCAAAAAACTAACCGGAAGTGAAACACTGGATGTTGGCGCTCTATCGGAATACTTTGAGCCTCTCCGCAAGTGGATGGTGGAACAGAGGAAAGAGCTGGGGTACACTGGACCCGGATGGGACGTAGACGCAAAGGCTGGAGTATCAGCTGTTCTTCCCAGACTGTTCAACACTGTCATGGGTTCTTTGATTGTGACAGTTGTTCTCTTTTGCTAGAGATCTTCAAAAGGCCTGGACCTAGGGCCATGATCATTGCTTTTCATTATCAGCCTTTTTTTCTTTTTTTTCATTGCAATTGCCTTCGTGGTAAATCAGCAATTGAAATTGTGATTAATTGTTTTTCTTTTTAGGTTATCGATTATCGTCTCACGTTTCTTTGACAGTGCAAAATAAAGATGTACGTTTTCGATTATGTGACTTGTTTATCTTTATATATGTATATAAATTTCTTTTTATTCAACTTAACTTGCCTAAAGCCATATTTCACAAAGTAAATCAAAGAAGTACAGGCGTGGGTCTCTGCTAAAAAAACAACAACAACACAAAAAAACCGGTTCATTCTATTTCGTTATCTGATAAAGGGGTCAGTTTCTAAAGAAACTGTGGTGCTGCGTCGGTGAGAGAATATAACAGGATAATGAAGTGTTATAAACTAAGTTGACAACGTAAACTGACCACTGTATAGAGTTTCAAAGCTAAACTCTCTACGTTGCGGCTAATTAACGTTATGAATTCAGTTGATAATACTAAGTTACTTCTTTCTCTGATATTTTTGTTGTTTAAATTTCAAAGCTAATAATCTCCGAGTAAAATCGCAAGATCAGTGTGTTGTAATTTTTGACAAACTTGACCTCGAGTGTCAAGAAATTGTCATAAATCTATAATTTAAACTCAGGTGCTAGTTGAGGGAATAACGGAAAGGCGGCCAGTGTCCCGGCAGCACGACTCGAATGTGTCGGCCGATGCTTCCCATAATACACACGGCGGCTTAAATAAGGCAAAGCTTATAGGAGTGAATAAGTTAACTTCCATGAATCAGCCACAACATACCTCCGTAATGTAAGTCAAAAATCGAGTTTCTTTCCGCTAGGATTCCTGGATCAAGTGCGCAGGCCATAAATCCGAGAGGAAAAAACGAGGCTCCATAACTTACGATACGGACCGAGAAAACAAGTCAACTTTATTTCCTTACGGGTATTCGTCCTTCAGAAGTTAAAAGATTATGAATATAAATTTATAGTTCAAAATGACTAAAATGAAACACGCATGATTCCCTGTAACTCTGAGTCTCGTGCTTACGCACTCGTCAGACAGATTTAATGAAAAACATACTTGTAGGCTAATTTATATATATATAAAAAAGATAGCTGCTGATTACAATGGGTTGTTGTTATATAATAGGTGAGAAAAAGCGAAAATTACAATGGATGTGGATGTATGTGATGTGAGGCAGTAGGTGTGAATATATTGACAAAAGTCTCTTGTAGTAGGGAAGCGTCAGATGTTCTTTAGATAAAACTTGTTTTCGTGACGGCATTTGGATATAAGTTCGGATCTTTTATTTGAATATAAATATACAAACTAACACTAGGTTACCTTATGCAACGTTTTACTTCTACCTACACTAAAAAAATAAAATAATAAATAACCTGATTTACTAGAATTCCGTGCTACAGCTAATGTAGATAAATACAACACGTTTAACGCCATGACTTGAATGCATATTTAATCTGTTTTCCAGATAGACGAATATTTGGATGTAAAGATGTGTAGATGTGTAAATGTGATTCGACTGAAAATAAATAAATAATACAAATATCTAGTACAAAAATAATAACAATAAGAATAACGACACAGCTACATAAAATAGAAACGAACTTACATTGTGTGGCGTAACCAGGTCCGGTAGCTAGAACTCTTATAAAAAGTAACACGGCGCTAGAAAAAACTAACGCAAACACTGACTTAGTTGAAATCAACTAGCAACAAGAATTATCTAGCGAAAACAAAGCTTGTATTGGCGAGAGATAAAACACCACCGGTGTTACGTAATTCTTACACAACCACAAGCAAAAACGCGACCTTTACTGAATCGAAACAGAACATCACAACAGTGGTTCAATTGAAAGAAAAACTATAAAATCATTTTGCAGTTACTTGACAATAACTAAAAATGCAAATTCTAGTTGCTACAGATATGATAGATATAAAAAGAGGTTAGGAAGATATTTATTATATCTTTGAGTACAAATTGATGGGGAAGATTTCGATTTAAACAAACTATCATATTAAGCGGGCTGTACAGTGAATAACGGCCCACTAAATTAACCAATCATAACACCCGTATTAACTGAGGGATATCAGTAATACCCTTTATCATTGGTTGAAACTCACGCCGGTATCAAGGAGGTCAAAGGAAGTACATCGGTTTGTTAAAAAACCGACTAATGGCGACTTCAAAACCCTCAAAAATAAAGTGGTACAAATCGAAGTTAGCTTTCTAAATCTAGACTACGAGTAGTTCATCGTGCGTGTCAAAAAGAGAAAAAAAAATTGGCGAAGCAAATAAATGATGTGAGCGCGCGAAGTTCCGTGCAGCGCGCTTACATCAATTCTTATTTTCCTTTTTCTTGGATGCATTGCAAAAGTGTGTGAAGATCGTTAAGATTTCCGCGCTCGAAGTTTGAGAATTTGGATCACTCAAAACTCGTACTAAACTAGAAATCTTGGAAACAAACTACGGCTTAGCGTCGGTTTCACGGGGAGGATTGAGTTGGTGGTGAATTGAAATGAAACTACAGTATATGTGCTTGGATTCTGCGTTGGATTTTTGGCCGCCCGGTCATTCTGAGCTCAGATTTTTCGCTTCTCGGATCGGGTGTGTGGAAATGGAGTGTGCAGCCTTGTCCTTCTTCTATGAGTAGTAAACCTAGAAATGGATAAGTCGTTAAGATAGCCTCGTTGCAACAAAGTAGGCAGTCACAAAACAAGCAGCGTACTGTGAAAGTAAAGTGAGGTATTTATTGAGAACAATATCAAAAATATTCCCATACAAACTCTTATATTTTCACCACGACTCTCATTTCGCAAGATAATAATCTCATAGCTGGAGCTTGGGCCAAGGAATCTTAGCTCCCAGTCTCTCCTTCACATTTGGTTAGTGAGACTGGTAACCAGTCTGCTCACTGTTGTCTTGAAACATGGCTGTTGCTCGAGTTGGATGCGGTTGATCTCTACCGTAAAAGACTTATTTGACGTTTCTAAGCAGGCGATTCTTTTCAAGGTAAATTCACTCTTGTAACATACACTTTCTCAGCTCAATTCCTGCAACTACTAGCGAGGAAACTGGTGTTTTTAGAGAAAAATCGTGAAAACTTGTGGCTTTATGCTTCCGTCAGCACTTCCTGTTTGTTTTCGTATTTTTGAATTGTAGCTCTGAGTTATACTTGATTCCTCTATATTTTTCAACGTTGATTCACGGGTTATCTCCCGTTTTAGTGAATTCAATCGGCCAAATACCAGGGCTGAAAAATCATCGGAAATTTCTCGATTGTTAGCAAATAGTTTAAGCCCGCCGGGCGATCGTGATACTCAAAGCATTTGCTGAATGCTATATGATATTTTAGTACTTTTGATTTAAAATAAGCTGTGATTAAATGCCCAGCAGCCGGGTACGGTCTCAAATAAATGAAATGCCCTACAGTACGAAATTTTTATAGCTTTTCCTCGGAAAAGTTCTTTCAAACTTCTCAGGAATACCTATAAAAATGTCAAGTGATTCCAAACTTAATTTGCTCGGTTGTGGACACGCTTCTGATCAGACTGCCGAGCACGGTCTCGAATGCTCGGCAGTTAGAAATTTTCACCTTAATGTCACTGAAATGTTCTTTAAACTTCTAAAGAGTATTAAATATTTGTTTACCCTTTACACCCTAAAGTCATTATGCATATTCTCCATACTGTTCTTTACACATTTCCCAAGGTGCTGACAAGGAGAATTTGTTTACCAATCAAAAGCTTCTTTTGTTGGGCATCATTTCCTTAATTCTCATGACCTTAAGATGTAATTCAGGGGTGATATTGTAAGGAGAAATTAGATGCTAATCATTCTTAGGGTTTAAAGGATTATGAAATGCCAAGCAATTCCAAAAATTAATTTGTTTTTTTTTAGAAGATAAATTAAATTTTCCAAACTTGTGAAGACTACAATGTACTATAATATTTATATGTATAAGTATGGTACATGTAAGCTTGACCACTACTGAAAAACACAAATTTTGAATATACTCAACAGGTTTGTATGAATTTTTCAGTGGGATTTTGGTGAAAATTTTTAACTGTGGGGCATTAAGTCCATTTGAGACTGTTCTGTGCAGTCTGATCAAAGGCTTGCAATTTTTAAGTCTCAACAATCAAGCAACATCATGGTATGCTCAACCTTGGGGAGTTTGTCACCTGAAAAAACAGATTAATTTTGGAATCGCTCAACATTTCTAAGTAAACATCTGATAATCCTGAGAAGACCATAAGAACCTTTCAGAGGAAAAATCTGCAAAATTTTTGACTGCCAAGGCAGACTATTACAGACAGTGCATGGCTATCAGGCATTTAGTCACAGCATTTGAAATAATGACAGATTTCTAACAGTAAATGTTTTGCAATGTCATTTAAGTGAATAAGAAGTATTTCCTCATAGGAGATGTGTCTTCATGGCTTCTGCCACTCCATCAATTCCTTCTACCAAAGAGACCTCTAATTATGCTGAGCTCTGTCGCCTTCTTGTCGATGTTGGATCATGTGTGTTAAGGGAGATCTTTGACAGGGTATGTCCACCTGGAAACCTTCACACAGTTCTGGCTCATCCTCAGAACCAAGCAAAATTACAAACACTTTTGAAGAAGAGAGTCCTGTGTATCTCTCAGTGGCGAAAACTTTATCCTGTTGTCAAATTCTCAGTGTCCTCAGGGAACTTTGACACCTCCCTACTGCTACTCCTGTTGAGGAATATCTTTGGCCTGCCTCTCCCTACCAGTAACTGGGATAAACTTCCTCTGATAACAGACACCTCTCCAGAGGCTGACATCACCCGAATCAAGGTCTTAAGAGATAGAGTTTGCAGTCATGCTACCACTGCTTCAGTTGATGATTCAACTTTCAGTTCTTACTGGAATGACATTAAAGACACTTTTATGCGTATTGGAGGGGCTCGCTATCAGGATTACATCCATGAAATGACACTTGATTGTGTGGATGCTGATCTTGTAGGAGACTACCAAGAGCTTCTGAGTAAGTGGTTGAAGGATGAAGACTGCATCACAGACAAATCAAATGAGGAAAAAATTGTGAAAAAGCCCAGGAAGGAAGGAAATATGGAGGATTCCTTGGACATTTCTGAACAAAATTCATGGGAGAGAGGTGTGTGTAATTTTTTGTTTAACCTGAGTTTTAAACTAACTTTGTAGAGTTAATACAATAAATGTAAGTCATACTGGATCATCCAATGAAATGAATTTCCTGCAGATTTTGTTTAAAAGTCATAATTATGCACAATTAAAGTTGTGCATTTTTATTCCCTTGATACATGTATGTCAACTGTATCCATAATTTGCTTTTTTTCTTCATCTTTCTTAACTTTTGATTTCCATTTGGGTAAGCTAATTAATTGTTACATACAAATGATTGAAAAAAAAACTACAACCTTCTTTTTCAGAGACAGTAGTAATGCCAGCAAAAAATGGATCAGCACAGACTGGGAATAGCAGCCAGCCAGAGCTTAGTGTGAAACTTCCAAAGTTGAGTGATCTTCCAGCAATCTTTACTCCGTGGGAAACTGTTGAACTGCCAGTGGATTTTCTTTTATTAACAGTAGAGGACTGTGAGTTCCTAAGCTGCTTTGCCTACCTGAAGGAACCCTTCAAGAGTTACCACATCAGTACTGGTCCTGTGTACTTTGGGTGCATGGGTAATGATCAAGGAAAGAAAATGAAAATTGCATTGAAGAGGTGCTCCAAAGGTTCTGATGTTCCTGGGGGTTCTTTGTCAGTTTCAAAAGATGCCATCTCGGTACTGGGACCCAAGGCTATTTTATCTGTTGGTGCCTGCAGCGGTTTGAACAGTGAAGAGGTCAAGTTAGGAGATGTGGTTGTTTCAGCAAAGCTGATAACAGCTGCACACAAAACTCCCCCCAGCAGAGATATTGGTAACCTGATCAAACATGTGGCTGATGGGTGGAAGGCACCTTTACAGAATGCTGATGAATATGCTGCCAAAGTACACTGTGATGGAGTGGTCCTGAGTATCTCAGAGGCGAACAGAGATATGATTAGGAAACATCCTGAAGCAATTGCAGTTGAAATGGAAGGTGGAGGTGAGAATCATAATAATTCAAATAATTGATGAGCCAAGCACTTTTGCACTTGTAGCAAATATTTTGAAAAACACTGCTCTGGTATTGTCTCTGCTGGTCCAAGAAATAGCATATACCATATAACATGCCAAATATGCAGGAATTATATATTGTGTATTAATTTATAATGATTTTATGTTTGGCTGGGGTAGGAAGATTTTTTTGCAGGTGAAGGTGCCTGAGACTTCTTCTGGATAAGTAAATTAAATGTGCTCCATCAGGATGTCATGAATTTTTTTAAAATTTGTCATCTGAAAAATGTATAAATTATGTTGTTTAATAGTTTGAGAGTTGAGGAATAGTATCACAGTCCCTGTTAACCTGAAACTCCCATGAGTGACCAAGACAGAATTTCTCCTTACAATATCAATATGATATTAAGCTGACAAGTAATGGGAAAAGAGAAAATGTCAATTAGGGGATTATTGGTTGATCCAAAACTAAATTTTCCTAACTGACATCATAGGAATTGTATGAAATACATTAAAGAGAATTTCTTAAAGAGATCTTAGGAGTGAAAGGGTTAACTAACAACAGTTTGTCTTTTGAGAAATGTTGAAAGTTACTTATGAAACAAGTTGAAGCCTGAAGAATAATTTTACAGTCTCAGTGTACAATTTTTTAAATTACTAGTTGAAAAAAATTAGGTTTTGGTACTAATTATTACGTCTTTCTGGTATGTGCATGTTGACAAACAGGTAGAGTGTGAATCTTTGTGAGCTTTGACTGAAAAATTATTATTTTTAAGGATGCTGAGAAAATAAGCTTAATATATAGATAACAGACATGAATGTTTTTTTTTTATTCAGGAGTGTATACAGCAGCCCATGATTTTAAGACAGAATGGGTGGTAGTCAAGGGCATCAAAGACTTCGCAGATGAAATGCAGTCTTCAAGTAAGAAATGGAATCAAATTGCCTGTGTGATGGCAGCATCTGTTGTGGCCAACATTTTGAATGATCCAGTCATATTCCAAGATTGGCCTCACTTTAATGCAGGTATTGCTTCCTGTCTCAATCTTGTCTTTTTACAAGGATAGGTCTGACTTAGATCTAAGTTCCCTCAGCATATTCTTTTATGGATTATAAATCAAGATGATTTATTTAGTGATTGTTCACAAATAGGAAATTAAGTTACCCATATTTTGAGTTAACATTCCAGTAGCTTAAACAAGGCCTCTTTACCCTTTAACTCCCAAGATCTTGTTGACAATTCTCCTTACTGTCTGCCAAATGATTCTCATTATGTTAGTTTGGAGAATGTGGTATCAGATCAACTAGTAATCCCATAATTATTATTTTTCTTTATTCTCATCACTTGTCTGCATGATATTGTATAGATATAGTAAGGAGAAATTCTGTCTTGGTCACTCATGGGAGTGGTGGGAGAAAAAAACTTGTAGTTTAATTGAGTGATGTAATGATGAATAACAATTCACTCCATGAGCCTGGTGAACTGGCCTGTATTCTATAGTTAGCTTGGTTTATGTAACACCACCAAAATATGGAGAATTCAGAGGCTAATGACATCTGCCAAAGTGATTTGAAGTGATCTGGTATATGTTCTTGGGCCAATAAGTGACAAATCAAATTGTTTTAAACTAAAAAAATTGATTTATCCAATACTGCATGTGCGATTGTATTTTGATGTTGAAACTATTGGAATGGATGGGGAAGTGATAAATGCCAGCACACATGTTAATGGTTTTTTTTTAACCTTTTATGGAACCTGAAATGTTATTAGTTTGAGATGAATAAATCAGATTTCAGGTAAATTTCTTAAGTAAATTGGTTTAAAGAGACAACATTAATTTTTTGTTTATTATTTCATTTAGGTGCCAATGAATTACCCTCTCAAGGTAAGTCCAACATGTTTTGATGAGTGTAATAATAGTGAACATGTGAATGGTAATGATAAACAGTGAACTTATATGCCACTATTTTAACTCTCATAATCAGATACTGTAATCAAATGTTGATCCAGGATTTTTTTCGAGAGAAGGGGGTCAATTTTTGTTTAGAAAACACAGACTTTTTTTTTTACTCTGAAACCACAATAGGCCAAGACTTCTATCTAGAAAAGTAATTGTTAAATGCTTCATATTGGATAGTAATATGTGATCCTGTTGTTTCAAGAATTTGGATGTCAGACAGGTGGATCTGATGGGGGTAGGGCAAGGACCTCTTGGAGGGGGGGGGCCTTCCTCCCCAAACCACCACCGATTTTTAACTATTATAGGGTCCATGAGTTGGGGCTCTGATATCCAATACTGGAATTGTTTCTCTGTTAGACACTCGACTTTGAAATTTACATTCAAGACCAGGCTTCCAAGGTGTACAACTATGTGTGGTATTAATGTGCCTTTAGTTTGTTATACTTTTTTCATCAATAAGAGTTAGACCAATATAGCCTAAGATCTTTGTCTTAAGATCTTGTGTGTTAATTGAGCTGCCCTCAAAACAGTTAAACCCTGTGGAGTAAGAGTGAAAGTACCAATAAACTGCTATCCTCGCGGTCATGTTATTTATTAAGTATGTTTCTTTTTTATATTTTAGCCGTAAGTGCCTACACTTCAGCTTTAAAGACTTCCATCATAGGCCAAACGGAGTTCCAACCCAAACTGCTTGCCTCTCGCACGATTTCCAACGCGAAAACAGACGAAATATTCACAAATCTTCTCATACAACATGGAAGAAAAGCCCTGATTAAGAATGACGAGACATATTATTCAAGGAGAAAAGTGCTTGAGTACTACGGGAATGTCAGCGTTACTCCAGTCAAACACTGCAGTGAAATATTTCTTGGCATGATTGATGATCAGGAAAGTGCTAATTCTATTCTTGTCGTTGGAAAAGCAGGGATTGGGAAATCCCTGTTTTGCCAGAAGGTGATTCGCGATTGGGCCAACAACGAATTATTTCAAGCACGAGAAAACACTGAAATCCCCAATTTAAAATTTGTGTATTTGCTTACTTTCCGTCAATTGAATTTGCTTGAAAATAACTGTGTGACTTTAAGAGAAATCTTAAATTGTTGTTCGGTACTGGATGACAAATGTAACATTGATGACTCAACATTTGAGTACATTGTAAATCATCCTAAGGAAGTAATGATAATTCTTGACGGCTATGATGAGTATTCTCAGAAATCCAACATCGCTGGAAACTTAGAAGAACAGCATCCCAATGACGCTAGACGTAAAATGCCGGTGGCCGCATTATGTTCAAAACTCATCAAAGGAAAAATCTTGAAAGGGGCTATCGTCATGATTACCTCGCGTCCTGATGAATCGGACGAGATGGGAGGAATCCGTTTTAAACGGGACGTGGAAATTGCGGGTTTCTCGTCAAAACAAGTCAGAGAGTATATTGAGAAATACTTCAAGGACAACGAAAGTATGAAGAACGCTGTACTTAAACATGTCATGAACAATGAGAACCTGGTCAGTTTTGCTCATATTCCTATGCTCTGTTATCTGTTGTGCTTCGAGATGGAGTATACCCTTGCTGAATCAGAAAATCCTGATGACCTTCCTGTCTCAACAACCGACATTTACACCAAACTTGTTGATATCTTTGAACTTAAGCATTGCGCCGAGTCAGAATACAGACAGAAAGAAATTCCTGAGCACTTCAAGCCCCCTCCTGTCATCAAAAACACATTAGAGAAATTGTCAGAGCTAGCGGCTAAACTGCTGGTTAAAGAAAAGCCAACTTTTGATGAAAGCGAGATGGAAGGCGATTTTGAAGCGGAAGAAGTCAACAAACTGAAAGGTAGCGGTCTTCTTTACTGTGGTCAGCCTTTCAGGACTGCATTGATTACAACCACGAAACACTTTAGCTTCACACATCTGACCGTCCAAGAATTCTTGGCCGCTCGTTGGTTTGTAAAGGAAAATTGTGTTCCAGACGCGAAATGCTCTGAAATGGTTTTCCAATTCATGGCTGGCGTGTTGTCAAGTGAGGGAAACGAGGAACTGATGGAAAAACTATTAGATTCACCCTTTATGCATTGTAATCTTAAAATGAGGTGTCTGAATGAGTATCAAAACAAAGAATTTGCCAAAAAATTCATCAGGAATAATCCGCAAGCGTTTTGTAATTCAGACGGCGTCATGGCTTTTGAGGGTTTATCAGATATGGACTGCATTGGAGTATCATTTGTGTTGGACATTATCAGTGAACTAAATAAAGAGGAAGCTGGAGAGGCACAACACAAATGTTCTGATAAGTTCGTCACAGTTAAGAAGTTAGAACTTAGCGGATCACAGCTAACACTGTCTGGAATACAACGAGTCTGTAATTCACTGAACAATGAACACTGTCTTGTGTCTGAACTGAACTTATTCGACATTTACTTGACTGATGAATGTGTTGATGTTATTAATAGATTAGTAGTAAGGAAGTTAACCACACTAAGTCTAGTGACCATTAAGATCACTGATACCGGTGTTGCCAGTCTATGTGAAGCTTTACAGCATCCAAGCTGTAAGCTAACCACACTAAATCTGCTGGGTAGTTCTATCACTGATACCAGTGTTGCCAGTCTATGTGAAGCTTTACAGCATCCAAGCTGTAAGCTAACCACACTAAATCTGAGGATTAGTGCTATGACTGATACCGGTGTTGCCAGTCTATGTGAAGCTTTACAGCATCCAAGCTGTAAGCTAACCACACTAAATCTGGGGGAAAATTACATCACTGATACCGGTGTTGCCAGTCTATGTGAAGCTTTACAGCATCCAAGCTGTAAGCTAACCACACTAAATCTGCGGGGTAGTTTTATCACTGATACCAGTGTTGCCAGTCTATGTGAAGCTTTACAGCATCCAAGCTGTAAGCTAACCACACTAAATCTGGGGAATAGTTTTATCACTGATACCAGTGTTGCCAGTCTATGTGAAGCTTTACAGCATCCAAGCTGTAAGCTAACCACACTAAATCTGCAGGGTAGTTATATCACTGATACCAGTGTTGCCAGTCTATGTGAAGCTTTACAGCATCCAAGCTTTAAGTTAACCACACTAAATCTGCCTTCGTTTCTTAGTTTTAAACATCGCGCAATTCTTAAAGCTATAACTCAGAGACACCGACCAGCTTTAAACCTGTCTTTTGAGTTTTATAAGCTTGTATAGTTTCATCAATTTTTAGTAGATTTTTATATTTAAACAAAATAAATAGTTGCAAGTCAAATCTTAATTTTGGGTCAAAGAGACTTACCAGGTAGACGAAGTATTTTTAATCACCAGAGTGAAAAACAACGCTTAATGTAAATAGAACCGCAAATATTTTGTAATAAAGGTTTTTTTTACTGGCGACATTGTTTACTGTACTTGGTTTGTGTGTGTAGACCACTCGAGTGGTGACAAGTAAGACTTGGGGTCGGGGGAGGGGTGGGAGGGTAATCTTCCGAGAGGCTACTGGGCATCTAAGGAAGCTTTCGGACAAGAACATTTAGTTAAAGTTTCTCGAGGTAAGAAAAAAGAGGAAAATGTCTTCCCGTTCACCCGATTCTGATTTAATTTTTGGTGAAATTACACCCTTCTAAGTACTGCCAAAAAAGAGATGGTTTTCTTGTTTTTTTTTTCAATAAGCAACAATTTTTCGTTTTAACTGTCCGCCATTACACTGTACCGATCATTGCAAAAATTTGTCATCCTCGTTTAAGTTGTTCAGCTTTGTTAAGTTAAGTTCCAGACGAATTACATGTAGAGACCTGGATCGAGAGATAGAGTAGGAGGTTAAATTTCCCACTTGAGAACCCAGCTTATGTAGCATGCACCACCGGTTTTAACCTTTTTGGAGTAAGTTGCCGTGGTGTATCCAAACTCAGATTAGTTCACAGATTGGACATTTAATCTCTGGTTTCAAAAAATAATATCTCGAGTCAGTTCTGTTAGTGCCGCTCGATAAAGACGCAAAATGGTGATGGGAACAGATTAAACGGAAAAATTTATGTTTTTTTTTTAATTGAGGTGGTATGTTTGGCGTTTTACAAAAACGGTGAACTTAATACTGAGTAAGTTTGCAATAACAGTTCTTCTGAGAACCTCATGGCCACTATTGGAGACAGAAAAGTCAGTGCTATACTCGCTAAAATAAGAGACAGCCAAACGCTGCTGATCTCGCCAATTAAATCTCCCCAGAAAAACAGTCAGCCTCCAAACGTTCCATTGTGAAGGCACGCACTAAACGAGCCAGTGCAGAATTAAACGACGACTTGCTTTCGTCAAAACTAGCTTCCAAAAAGTACTAAGAGTTACCAAACGACCACGACATGCCTTTGTAAAAACCAACCCCTAAGCGTCTTAAGACGGAAGCGAGTTTCAACAACCTGCGGAACACAATTGCCTACATGGAGACACGGCGCGCAAAAACAAAGAAATTCTTTTTTGTTCTTGTATGGAGGGTTTAAAGGAAGGAAGAAGGAATTAAAGTCGTCTGTCAAAACTGTACGAAGAGCATTATCAGTCAAACCTTCGATCCCAACAACAGTTTTGAGAGACCTTATATGACTGATTCATAAAGAAAACTCTTTCAAATTCAACCACAAAAACTATTTTCAAACACTCGCAATAGCTTTTGGAAAAAAATGACGGTAGCTTTTGCAGTCATATTCATGGCTCCTATTGAGAAACAGCTACAAACTAGCTACAAGCCCACAGTAACCATTTCTTTGGAAAAGATACATTGATGACATTTTTTATGCGTGGACCATTCCCGAAACCGAAATCAACAACTTCATTGATTTTGCTAACTCATTCCGCGCCACCTTTAGATTCATGAATGAACAGTCATCAAAAAAAAATTGTTTTTCTCGATACTGAAGTGTTTAAAGGACCGAGATTTACCGATAGCAAAATCGTTGATGTTTAAACATATTACAAGCCGACAGAAACGTTCCAAGATACACACAGTTATCTTCACGCCACCTTCTCAGTGTTAACCCTTTACACCCTAACATCAGTATGCATATTCTCCACACTGTTCTCTTTACACCCTAACATCAGTATGCATACTCTCCACACTGTTCTCTTTACACCCTAACATCAGTATGCATACTCTCCACACTGTTCTCTTTACACCCTAACATCAGTATGCATACTCTCCACACTGTTCTCTATACACCCTAACATCAGTATGCAAACTCTCCACACTGTTCTCTATACACCCTAACATCAGTATGCATACTCTCCACACTGTTCTCTATACACCCTAACATCAGTATGCATACTCTCCACACTGTTCTCTATACACCCTAACATCAGTATGCATACTCTCCACACTGTTCTCTATACACCCTAACATCAGTATGCATACTCTCCACACTGTTCTCTATACACCCTAACATCAGTATGCATACTCTCCACACTGTTCTCTATACACCCTAACATCAGTATGCATACTCTCCACACTGTTCTCTATACACCCTAACATCAGTATGCACTCTCCACACTCTCCACACTGTTCTCTCTATACACCCTAACATCAGTATGCATACTCTCCACACTGTTCTCTATACACCCTAACATCAGTATGCAAACTCTCCACACTGTTCTCTTTACACCCTAACATCAGTATGCAAACTCTCCACACTGTTCTCTATACACCCTAACATCAGTATGCATACTCTCCACACTGTTCTCTATACACCCTAACATCAGTATGCATACTCTCCACACTGTTCTCTATACACCCTAACATCAGTATGCAAACTCTCCACACTGTTCTCTATACACCCTAACATCAGTATGCATACTCTCCACACTGTTCTCTATACATTTCCTAAGGTGCTGACAAAGGAGAATTAGCTTAATGATCCAGAGCTTCTGTGGTTGTTGATCATTTCCATAATTCTCATGACCTTAGTACGTGACTAAAGGGTAATATTGTAATGAGAAATTAGATGCTAGTCACTCTTAGGGGCTAAACGGTTAAGAAGGGTTTTGTAAAATGAGAGGCACTACGCTTACTGAGAACAAACTCGGTTAAAGAATCTTTTGAGCTAAGGAAGAAAGAATTTTTATCTCGCCTTATAGAACGAGGCTACCCTCAGGACCTCGTCCAAAAGGTGTTTGCCGATGCCCAGTTCTCATCACGCAACACGGCTATGAGAAACAAACCGAAATCATCTAAAAAGATTTTCCCGTTCGTTAGGACTTTCAACCCTGCTAACCAGAATGTCAAAAAGATTCTTATGAAACACTGGCACCTTATTTCAGGCAACAATAACCTGGTGCAAATATATCCTGATCCCCCAATTGTTGCTTGTCTGAAGGTCTTTAAAGTATTCTGTTGTTAGAGCACAACTTCCTTCACTTTAATTACACAACAGCATTTTAGAAGTTATACACGGTAAGGGTTTAATGGAAATACTACAAGACAAGGCAATAATTTCATCCCTTCCATTCTAATAAATCCTACTTCCTCCGGATAACTCCTCCCTCGGATTCTGCGCTCCTATGCAACACGATAATGTATACGAGTAACACTGCTCTTCTAAGATGAGAGTTCGATCCCTTGGGGTGGGGGGTGGGGATTTTGGAAAAGAAACCTTAACCCTTTAACCCCTTGGAGTGATTAGCATCAAATTTCTCCTTACAATATCACCTATGAATCAAACACTAAGGTCATGAGAATAAAGGAAGTGATCATCATTTAAAAAACTCTTGATTGTTAAACAAATTCTCCTTATCAGCACCTTGAAAAATGTATAGAGAGCAGCATGGAGAATATGCATACTGATATTAGGGTGTAAAGGTTAAATTATTGAGTAAAATAAACAAAAAGAGGCGTCTGTTTGAAGCGTATAAAGTATCACAGCATGTCTAGACTGTCTACAGATGATATGCGTGTCCAATTGAGCGCGCAAATCATGTCATGTCGACGAACCTCGATCTCAAGTAGTTCATTCTATCAACGCAAAATCCGAACCAAAGGGAATTGTTATAAGGTTTACAGTTGGATGATTTGAATTACACCTCAGATTTAGTTATGGCTAAACCACGTTCGTTTCTATGCAAACCCAAAACAAGTCGTCAAATGCAAGGTATTTACAGTACACCACAGTTATACTGATGACGTCCGAGGTTAAGGTGGCCGAACGAAAATCAAACGAGGGTAAGTTTGATGGCAATTTTCTAAATAAGGTTTGGCGTCTAGATACCAGGAAATGATAATGTTTTATCATTTAAACAAAAGTATAGCACACTGTGCCTCCCCTCCCACCTGACAAGTTCTTCTGTTAGAGATGCCATTCATACTTCTCATACAAAAAGAAAAAGCATTCTCTGTTTGATTCTCCTCTCCCCAACCCCCTCCCCACTACTTTCATGCCTCCCCTCCCACCTGTCAAGTTCTTCTGTTAGAGGTGCCATTCATACTTCTTATATGAAAAGAAATAGCATTGTCATTTTATTCTCCTCCCACCCCACCCCACCCCCCTTTCCCTCTCCGACCACCCACCTCTCGTTACTACCTTGTGAAAAGAGAATTATAAATCAGCCAAATGCAATATCGCTTTTGATCGTGAACTGAAGTGATTGCTGGCCCTGTTTCTTATGATTTAATTTGAAAACCTAAAAACACTGGCAGCAGTATACTAATAAATGTTGGCAGACACAAAAATTATCTCGGGAGCCAAACGATCCATTAAGATTACCGATCATTTCACGTGCACCCCCGCTAATGTTATCTATTGTAGAACGTGCACTTATTGCAAAAAGAGATAAATTGGTGAAACAGAAAGATGACTAGGTGACTTACTCCGAGAACACCTTCGCGACTTAGAAAGTAATGACAAGGACGCATGCAAACCAGTTTCCATACACTTTAATCTCTCTTGTCATTCTATGCAGCACATGGCACTCTGCGGCGTTTCCTTACATCTATGCTGTTTAGAAGCTGCAAAACTCTTGAACAAAATTTCCCTTTCAAATCGGCGCTCTTAATCCGAACGGTATCAACGAACGCTCTTCATTCAACTTATTTATTCTTGTTTTCTCGTCGCTACATTCCCACCAATAGCGTAGCTCCATTTTTCAGCATATAAACACACACACAACCCACAATTCTTCCATTCGCCCTCACAAAGGGCTAACGCTTGAAACGTCAGTTTCGAAACTCTACGGTGGCCGATATACTTTATCAACTCAGTTTGTTAAACCAAAATTATTTTGTTATACTCCCTCACTAACGCAGCACCACAGTTTCTTTAGAACCCCATTATTAATATGAATTAGCGAATTATTTTTCGTAATTGTTCTTCGTAAACCGTCGATATGATAATGCATATTCATTATGGATTGTGTGATGGCCA